TAATCTATGTTTGGGTGTCTGTTTGTTTGTTTGTCCGATCATAACTCGTGAACCCCCTTGACCGACGTGCATAAAATTTTGATAGGGGGAATTCGATAGTTTCTAAGCTTGGCGTACAGATTCTAAGTTAAGTGGTTTGACTTTATAGGTAAAGTTTAGTTTCCAGCCAAAGCTTGGTTTCCAAGCTAGTTTAAAATAAAGTTAAAAAATGTGTTCCTGAAGTTTTTAATTTGATCTTCCTTTAGAGTCACATTTGATAAAGATATTTTACACTGCTAGTAGAAATCATGTCTTTTTAATAGACCAGGGATAGTTCTCAGCTTCCTTTCTATAAAACAAGGTACTAATGCAAGGAAACTTATTTCAGAGGTGTGCGCATCTTTTGTACTGCAGTGTACTGTCACTGGGCGGTAATGTAAACACATAACACGGATGTCGAAGTCTGACATGGGATCCATCTTTCACATAAATTATCAATGAAATATTCTGGTCATAGGAAACTATTATGTGAATTATCAAAATTATCAAAATTCAATGCTTTTAACCTACTCGGATACTAAACGAACACTGATGCATCTATTCTTGTTTACAAATTGCGCCCAGAGAGAACTGGTTTCAATATATACGCAGAGTGTACGCAACTGCAATTAACTTTCTTTGCATTACATTCTTTGATATAAATACTATGTTTTCTATTTTAAATTCTAAAACTCTTTTGTCGTCGAAATTTTTTTTTAGGAAATGAACAATTAACATTTTACAGGGACAAATCAAGATAAATTTCTTGAAGTATTTAATTTTAGATCATTTTTAATTTCAATATCCCTCTGAAGTAGGGCCGTAACTGGGGGGGGGGGGGGGGGGGGTAACATTTAGGGTAAAATAAATCCCATGCTTTGCCCCCCTCCTAATCACCCGGTGTGCCCTTCCCTTTGCCTAGGCCTGCTCTGGACTAAACAGGGCGAGATGCGTTTGGTTTCTTAAATTTGAATTCAATCACGTTTTCGTTTAGAATTTAACAATCTTTAAACTTACGGATTTGTAAAAGGCGAAAATTACAGCTGTGACAAGAGCCGAACTGTTAAGACAACTTGATATGTATGCAATTACGGCAGATATTAAATTCTAAATTTAATTGTATTTTTTTATCAATTTTAAAAACTCTCGGTAAACTATAGAACTTTCCCTAAAAAAAAAATTAACCACTCAACTTAAAATTCCTTATTCAAGCTAAGAACGGAACCGTGGTTCTACCGAGTTCCCCAATCAAAATTGATGCGAATCAATCGAGGTTCATGAGTTATGATCGGACATACAAACAAACAGACAAGCAGAGATTGCTACTTCCACAATACTATACAAAAAGGAGATAATTCATTTGGTGTACTGTATCGTTTTAGCTGTCTATTGTCTGTATAGTATATATATATATTTTATACCACACTACTTGGCCTATAGCTTCCTTATAGTAGGTTCGGTACTTCAAATAATCCAAAGTTTACAGTGTATGCTCNATAATAATAATAATAATAGTAATTGATAAAAAAAACGTGTTACTGACTGAGAAAGTTTGCACGTTTTAAAAGAATGTTTAATCCTACTTTTTTAGCAAATTAATCTTGATTTAAATTTCACAAAACAGCTTATACATTTTTAATCCTAAGACTGGGGGAGGGGATGGCACAAATAAAATTAACTAAACCAACGTGCACGTGAAAATTAATAATTTGTCTGTTTGAAAAATCATCTGTCTGTTTGATCCTCCGATTCATCAATATTGGGAGAAGAGAAATCTCCGCTTCTTCTCTGATATAAAATCTCGGAGACAAAACCATAATAATCATTCCTTCTGTCACCACAGCACAAGAATGACTAGGAATATTTTAACAGTTTTCATTATTGTAAACTTACCGGGACTATTCCATTTCAAACCAAGTCCTAAAATTAATGAATTAAAGGTTAATAATACAATGAAACTAAAAGCAGTAGAGGTCTACTGGGTGGAGAACAAGTTTGAAGATTTTCTATCCCCTGGGAAAGGAAGAAAAGACCTGAACGAGCTAAAAAATAAAGTCTTTCTGGACCAGAATGAGAGAAGACACAAGAGACACCAACTACGGTTGAGGCATCAGAGAAACCAAGCTAAGTCAAGCAACCAAGGAGAAAATAGGGTTAGCTGCGATGATCTTGACAACGGAAGAGTTGTGCGAATTTTGCTTCGAATTCACAGCTTCAGACGGAGGAACCATCTTGCCAAGTATTGGCTTCATAACTGCTTAGGGGCAAAATCTTCATCTAAACACCAAGAGGAAACTTTATCCACACCTCCCCCTGGACCTGTTCATTCATACCTCAGATACTTTGGATAATTACATTACGCGTTGTTCTCGACAAACCTGACAAGATAAAACTTGAAATTGGCCTCAACTCAAATTTACAGAGACAATTAGAAATATGTAATATTTCTTTTGTTCTTTGAAAAATTTCCTTTTGAAAGTATTTAACGATTTTCAAGACTTGGAAACAAATCCTATACGCTGATTTGGACACGATGCTCCAGTAAGATTTCAGCATGAGTAATAAGTACTCTAGTAGACCCAGAGACAAATCAAAGGGATAAAACTAGTTCTGGTACTAGTGCTCTTCATGTTTCAGAAGACGGAGAGGTAAAACTTCTGATAACCGAACACAACAATCTGAAGATAGAACAAACCTCGGCCTAAGAATGAGACTGTCTCTGATACAGAATATCTAACGAAAAACCTGGATATTTGTATCAATTCTCAGCACAGAAATAATACTTGTTGATACCACTGTAAATAAAAAAATAAATAATATGTTGTATATATTTTATGAATAATTATGTATTATTGTGTTTGTAATAAATCAATCATGTACTAGATATACACCAGATTTGAAGGCATTATTTTAATATGAAGAGATTTGAGTGTAAAAGTATAATGAAGTTGTTTACTAAGAAAAGAAAGAAAAATTAACATAAAATGAATTTTGTAGTTTTAGCCATTTATTTTCTTCTTACTGTAGCAAACTTCTCAGTTTTGACTTTTCAATATTGTATGAATATAGTTTTGAAAATTCCTGAAAATTTTAATTTACTGACCAGTGAGATCAGTGAAATCAGTGATCTGCAGTTGAGAATAGAAAAAATTTAAATGATATAAGAATTATTAAGATTGAAATGAAAGTTCAAGTATACAACTTTTTTATTTCAACCATTCAATCTATATAAAAAAGCTCCTCGATCATATATATATATATATATATATATATATGCTAGCTATAGCTGGCCAAATGGCTAAACCAAATTGGCTGAAATTTTGGAGGGAGCCAATGGGTATCTGAGGGGTAATCGATATTTTTTTCAAGATGGAAATATAATTATGGAAACATAGTCAAACATAATTATATAACAGAACTCTAATTTCCATACAAGTTCGGCGTCGGAAAGGATTTATCAGTGGAATCAGAGCTCAGGGGAACCAGTTAAAATATATTTCATATGGATCCGATCAGGGGCGGATGCAGGGGAGGTGGAAGGACCTTTGCATCCCCTGACGGATTCAGGGGGGGCGAGACCCTGAGATTTCATAATAGCTTCTCAATAGCACTTAAGGGAAAGAAAACCAATTACAAAACAGAAAAAATATCTATCTTAAAAAAATTTGGTTCCTAAATCTGGATTTTTTGTTCCGAAATAAATTTAGCACCCCCCTCACTTAAATCGTGCATCCGCCCCTAAATCGGATCAGGGTTTAGCAACATGCAGGTCACGGGTTGCAGGTTGAAAGAGACGGGTGAGGGTTGATGGCTAGGATCAGTGTTTAATAGAACGGATCAATTATTTGAGAGGAATGGATCAGGGTTAATTGAGATTAATGGATCAAGATTACAGTTTTAAGGGACGGGTTGCAAGTTTTGGTTGAAGGCTCAGGGTGGAGAGAGTGGAGAAGACTCAGAAGATCGGGCCAAGGATTAAGCAGGGACAGATCAGCGTTAAGATTAAAGAATTTAATTTAGGAACATCAGGGTTGGGTTTATCAATATCATGTTTGAATGGGATAGGCCAGGTCGGTTAGGCCGCGGATTGCACCCAGTGTATTGGATCTGGGACCTGGGTTGGAAGAAAAGTTTATTTACCGGAGGGTGGACGCGGGTAATTAATCAGGGAAAGATATAGTTTTGGAAGAACGACTCAGGGGGGGGGGGGNCTAGTAGGTCGGATGTGTAGTATAGCAGATTTGGCGTAGGCCAGAAGTGGAGTATAGCGGATTTGCGTAGGTCGAAAAATACACCACCCGAAAATGAAGACGATAAAAGGAATTTGCGGCATTTGTGCTCTGACCAAAAACACGCTGACATAAATGCGAAACTTGTTCGAAACAAACCATCGATTAGAATGCAGAAAAGCTCAATTAATAATAAAATGAAGGATTCGAAGTGTAAGAAAGATCGTGATCTTGAAATAGACAATATGATTGAAAATCTTCACAAGCCAAGGATAGCCGAACAATTTAGAATACGTAAACTAGTTGAAGACCAGTTTTTGAAAATCAATGAGCAAGTTCAGAAGAAAATACAGGAAAATCTGGCAGAGATGAAAGTTCCAAAGGAAAGGTAAAAGAGACCCATTCTCTTCTAAAATAGTTTAGTTTGGTTGAAGGATTATCCCTAGGTGAAAGTTCTCTTCTGACACAGGGTAACAGAACGAATTCAAATTTATAATTATTTAATAATTTGAACACTGTTCGATATATTGTGGCTCTATCTGTGAGCGGGGCCAAAAATCGTTCCCTAAGAAATTACATTTTTTGTGCATTTTCAAAGCTTCACAAAAATCCAACACCTTTGGACACACATTTTTGTAATTTTGAGCCTACATTAACCTTCCCTGGGGTCATGTAAGGCCCTACATAAAATTTGGGCCCTGTCGGTTCAGCAGTTTTGATGATTATTGGATTCAATTTGTTTGTTATCTTACCAAAGTAAATGATTTAAACTTTATTTCGAAATGTTAACAATTGCTAATATATAATCAGGTTATTTCCTATTGTTCGATTTTAGATCCACGCCCCCCTATCGAATTTGTTCATGCATCGCATTCGCATATTTAATACATGGATTTAGTTGGTCATGTGGTGGCAACGCCCGGCGGCCTAGCCTGTTCGAGCTGTAGCACAAGGCCCAGAAATAATTTATAATATACAGATTTGAGCCAAGTATTGATTTGAATAATAATTGGTCGCGTATAGGTAAATATATCAATTCAAGTAACTTGATTTTTTTTTAATTATATTTTTTTCTGATTTACGTTGATATTCAGAAGGGTGACGAAAACTAGACCAGGAACAAAATCTGGGAGTCGGAATGTTGATGTCGAAAATCCGTCTCCAATTCTTCATTTCCGTACTCCGGAACCAGTAATATCAGGTCTGATAAATTTTATACCTTGGAGATTGTCAACAGTTATAACTGGACATTAAACCATAAACCTTAATCTTAAGATACCTGAGGCCGAATTTAAAGAATTTGAGCCGTGGCTTAAATATGGTTGGTTCCACTTAAAATTGTATTCAGTTTTTCAGATTTAAGCCGGCGCTCTATTGAAACTGGTCTTTGGGTGATTTGATACGCGGCGTAAATTCATTAACTTTGGACACTGACCATGGTCTTGTATTTTTTTGTATACATAACTTGGTCAAGTAAATATACTTTGATAAATTAAATATATACTTTGGTCAAGTAAATATACTGTGGTCAAGTAAATATACCTTGGTCAAGTAAACATACCTTGGTCAAGTAAATATACCTTGGTCAAGTAAATATACTTTGATCAAGTATATATACTTTGATCAAGTAAATATACTTTGGTCAAGTAAATATACCTTGGTCAAGTAAATATACTTTGGTCAAGTAAATATACTTTGGTCAAGTAAATATACCTTGGTCAAGTAAATATACTTTGGTCAAACAAAATATACTTTGGTCAACTAAATATACCTTTGTCAAGTAAATATCTTGCGAATCCCTTCCGGTAATATTTGATTTTAAATGACTAGGATGTTATGTTTTTTTCAACGAGAGGGAGGGGGGAATTGAATTTTTTTACCCCCCACCTTAAAGTTCAAAGTGTCGTCTAATGCAAATTTTATTTAAAATTCATTCCTCAAAGTCAAACTTTTAGGGCTAGAAGGTTCATGCTCTATCTAGTTGTGTCTGCTCTGTTCAACCGTTTCGACGTTTATTGAATACAAACAGACAAACAGTAAAACCATAATTATGTATTTTCTCAGATCCAGCTGAATATCCAAGATTTGAAGTTATAAAAGCTAGGAAACCTGCCCTTACATTCCATCCTCTCTCTTCTCCGCGACTCATTCACAAATCTGAAGTTAGCAAAGCTGCTGTATATGAATATAAGCATAGAGAAGAGAGTAGGAAATCCAGGGTTCTTACTTCTCATTTACTACCTGGAGTTGATATTAGACCTACTCTTGTGATAGAAAGTATACCTGGACTCTGTATCTCTGGGTCGAGTAGGAAACCAGTTTCTAATATTCATGTTGAGTATGTAAACAAAATTCAGACAAACTCGTCCAGTTTCGAACCGAGTAAACTTGGAGTTGAGGATGAAGACGATCTTACTATAACGGAGTCCACAACCTCGAGGTTTGAGAAGGTAGAGAGGTTGGTTGAGAAGGATTCCCTTGAGGTCGAAATAAAGAAGAAACTGCGAGAAAAAGTTCGTGATATTCTAATAAAAAAATACTGCCTGGACCTTGATGAATCTCCTGTTAAGATGATTCAAACTTCTCCAAGTTTATCTTTCCAACCTGAAACTGTACCGTGTTCGGTTGTTCCTGGAGGTGAACCATCAGCAATAATTTCAGCTTTATTTAGAAAATCTTCAGCAGTACGTTCATCTTCTCCTTTAGTTGTAGCTTCTCCAGATCTACTCTCCTCAGTACCTTTAAATCAGGGTATAACAACGAAAGCGCCATCACCTTCATCAATACAATCGGAACCTTCCTCTTCTCATCCAAATATAGAATCCAATTTTGTTCACGATGGGAGTAAATCAGATGATGTGTCGGAGAAACAATCGAATCCACAATATTCCACCTCATTCGAGGACGGAAGTGATCAAGAGTCTAGTGAATATACTCCAGAGAAAGAAGAACCGGGACTAATCGGTAAGTTTATCAAAATAAGGTTAATGAAAATCTACCTCTATAAGAAGCAAAAGATTATTTCTCATTTTATAGGGGAAGGAAATAGTGTTGAAAAGTGTGAGAGAAGTATATCTAAGTCTGAAGAAGAAATTTGTGAAAGAATTGGGTTTCTTTCAACAATACAGGAGGTTTCTAGCGTGCCAACAAGTCCACAGGTAAATTTTAAATTTTGCAATAAAAATATCATTTTGTTATTTTATCTAGCTAAACATATTTAATTATTTTCCTTAGGAAATCTTGGAAAATAAATATATTTAATTATTATTTGGAAATAAAGGTAACCTTACTTTCTGACTAGGAATAAGAAAAATGAAAATATTATACAGATTTCAGCTGATTTTATTCCTCCTAGGTAGTTGAAGCCCTAGAGCAGGATAACACTCTGGGAGGAGTCGATGAAGGAATATTGGAGGATGAAACTCGAAATGATAACTCTGGATCAGAAACTTCATATTCTGAACCTGTTCAGATTCAAGATGAGAATACTGAGCAAAGGTTCGAATTGGACACTCAACCTGAGTTACAAGGTTCAGAAGACGAAACAAATAATATTATTGAGGCTGTAGAAGAGGAACAGATATTTAAAGAACAAGATAGTCCAGAAGAGAAGGCTGGAGAGATTCCGTTAGAACTGGACTCTGATTCCGTCGGAGCTAAGAACATCCTCAAGTTTACATTAGAAAGTAACGATGAAGAGGTGGAACGAGAAGATCAGGAGGTAGAGGTACAAAAAATGGAAAATCAAGAGGTAGGTCAGGTGAGGGAAAGAGATAAAGCGGAGAAGGGACAGGTGAAAATCAAAGATCATAAAACGGGACTAATGCTGATAGGACAAATGCAAGAAAAAGAAGATCAAGAGGAGGGACAGGTTAAGGAAATAGAAGATCAGGCGAAGGAAAGCGAAGATCAAAATCAAGTGCAGGAAATAATGGATCAAAATCTTCAAACCAATAGAGAATACGTGATTAATTGTAATCAAGAACCAGGCGATATAGAGATAAGAGTAGAATCTGGATTAAATGGTTTAGCATCCACCGACGATCAAGAACTTTCGGATTTGATTAATTATGAAAACTCTGATATTGAAATAAATGTATTGCCCGGAAACAACAGCTTGACTTCCTCCCCTTTAAACCTCTTAAATGCTACAGGGGAAAATGAGAAATCAATTTCTTCTTTGAAGCAAATTGAATGGAATTCAGTACCTCCATATGGTGCTGATCTGTTGTATTCGGTACCTGGAGTAACCAAACCAGCTCATGACAAACAAAACTCGGAATCGGAAAGGTTAGTCAGAGACATTCTTGAAAAAGACGTTCTTACTTTTGTAATTAATCCTATTACTCAATCTGAAAATAAACCAAATTTTGTTGGGAATGTAACTGTGAAGGATGAATCTATAACTATTGGTGATAAAATTGTTGATCTCAATATTAGCTGTGGACCTCTTAGCTCTGACGAGGACCAGGCGCCGAGTATCGAAAACTATTCATCTTTATGTCTACACGGAGAAGGTTTAGATCCGCCTAGCTCAACTTTTAACAGTTTAGATCTGAACATCTCTCCGGGAGAAATCATTGCCGAGATTCATCCTAATAAATCTGAAGGCGAGGTTACGATGCCCTGCTCTGAACCTACAGAAACCCCGGTACTGGACAGTTTACACCACGATCTCTCCCTCCTCAGCGACTCGGAGCCAAGTATGAGGAGCGGTAGAAGCAATCAAGCTCTCCTCTCAAGCTTGAGTGAGGGAGAGTGGCGAGCAAGTCCTCGTCAGCTTCAAAGGTTGGCGAATATGGCGTCATCGTTCAGGATTATATAGTGTTAAATGATGAAATCTAAGTTGCTTGAGAAAATCGAGATGTATCCGAAGAATTATAAGACAAAAACAAATTAAAGAGAAAAATATTCACGAGTTTTTAATATTTTTTCAATCTTTTGGCTGTTTTCTTAACATTCACTTCAATTATAGAAAGGCAATGATTTTATGATGAATTATTTTACAGACTTGAAGAAAATCCAACTGCAATTTTTTGTAGTATAACTGAGTAAAATATTTTTGTGATGCCAATATTAAGGTTCATATTGACAATAACTTATGCTAGTAGTTTACCGTGCTACCTACAAAGCGACCTGAATATACTCAACACATGTCCGAGAAACTAAGATGATTAATTGAATGTGATAATTAGTATGAAATTTTGTATATTACAGATTTAAAGATGCATATCCTGAGGTTTGGGTTAAGAAGGAGTAGGTTTCCTGAAACCCGGAGATATGTTTCAAACCTGGGACCCCTAGCTTCAGTCTTTAATACCAAGCATAATATTAGGTGAGGGATAAATTTGAAAACGATCAAATTTTTTCTATTTTACTTTCGTTGAAATTGGGATGGGGGGGGGGCAGAGCGGGGGGTTTTTCAATAGAAAGGGTTATTATTTTATTTTGCTAACACGAGTGTAGAATTTATTTAGTTTTATTAAAAGGGAGTGACTGCGGCCAAAAGACCACAATTGAGCCAGGAGTGCAGTATTATGAAATTAATATCAGGATTCATCTGATAGCAGTAATATATCAAATATATCAAATATTTTTACCTAAAGTATTATGTTTTATCTTTTTTAAATAATAGAAAATTTAACAAACTGGCTCAGTTCTGTATTTTTAATTTCCATTTATGCTCGAGACCCAAGTAACCTAGGATGATCATTTTAGGAAAGTATTGAAAGTTTCTGAGTAGTTTTCTTTGATTGAGCCAGTTGTTAGCCATGATAAGCCGGGGGGTGCCGACCATAGCACTAACGATCGGGATGTGCTTCTTCGAGCAAACTCTGTCCTATTTACAGGATTGAATCCTGGGTACTTTTACGTTAAGTAAAAGGTTTTATATAAATATATCTTAATGTAGTATAAATGCAAAGTAATAGAGGTAAATGTTTTTCGTTTAATCATGATAAAATATACATTTTGCAAAGGGTCCCCCTGTGAATCCGTCTGATTTAAGCTAATAAATGTTTTTGTGCTTTTACTCAGTAATTATACAGCGAAGAAATATATTATTGATATCAAATGAATCCGGATATTTTATTCATTAATTCTAGGATCTCAGCTCAACTACTTTCCCTAGCCGGTCACTTCCTTTCAGTGATCTCAGTCATAATACATATACATAATACATTTTTACTAAAACTAACTGAAGTGCCCAGCGTTGCACGAGGAGTTTTAAAAAAATCGATTTTTCAGCCCATGTAACCCCCAGGCCCAGAGCACCCATGTGTATCCACAAAAAATGTCAGCCCATTCGGTCCAGCCGTTTGGCCAGCTATAGCTAACAAATATATTAATAAATGTAGAGCAAACTGCTTTGTTATATAGACTAGCGGAAGTGCCCGGCGTTTCCCATGGAAATAAAAAAATTCAAATTTTGAAAAAGTTCTTATGTTAACCTATGGGTTCCCTAAAAAAAATTCAGCCAATTTGGTCCAGCCGTTTGGCCAGCTATAGCTCACATTTATACTTACAAATATATGCATATCCAGGAGTGAAGAGCTTTATTATAAAGATTAAAATAGAAATGCTTTTGTATTTTTTTGATAAAATATGGTTCTTCATCTTCAGAACCTTGTTAAAATACTTTCCCCCATAATTAATTGTTACAGTTTAAACCTTGCTAACATGAAGAATAGGAATATGAATTTTTTTTTATGTTAGCGTATTTTTTGTATCTTAAGTATTTATATATAGGGAAGATTAAAAACACAGTTAGAAAATAATTGTTATGTTTTTCTCGACACTTGCTCAATATTATCGGGCAGCTAAATTTTCGAAATAAAAGTCGACCCACTCAATTTAGTATCTCAAAACCAAACTAAGAGCATTCCTGTGGCTCTCCTGTGTTCTCCAAAAAAATTTGAGGCAAATCGGTCCAGGCTCTCCTGAGTTATGATCGGAATAAAAAAAACGGACAGACATAGATTACAACTTTATATTTAAAGATTTAATAACAATATATATGACGTCCATGTCCTTTTTGACGTCAGAAGTCGATATAATGTATATTTGGTTCCTGCATCCTGGTTCGATAAAAGAATTTCCGGTTAGAACTAAACGCACTCTTGAAAAATATAAAAACTGGTTTCCTCCGTTTTATTTTTTTTTTATTCAATTAAATTTAACATAATAATTTCTTCTTATTTTTCATTTTTAAAAGACTAAGAATAAACTGTTGAGGGTCCGAAACTAGGATCTGGATAAAAAGCTAATTCTTATCACCCGTTCAAATAAACCTATGTAAAATGTTATGTCAAATGTATATTGTTTGGTTGGATTATATATATTTTTTTCAGCTTGAACATTCCATCCTGGACCAGCGGAGAACGAACAGGATTGTTTAATGTTCCTGAACTGGAAAACAGCCAGGGTTTCCAGATTATTAAAGATAAATGTTTAGAAACTACGGAAACCCTGGTTACTGAAGCTTGCAACCCACATAGGAAGGAAATATATTAATAAGCCCTTATAACGTAAATTAAAAAGCAATAATGACTGAATGTTAAAAACTGCTTGAGGAGTTTTAAAAAATTATATTTCTGACATCAGACAAAGAAACGTGGCAGTGATATTTGATGATCTGAGTGACGAGTTGTGCCGTGTGGCCGATCTTGCTGAGTTTATTCGTCTAGCACATCCGGACGAATCATTTGCCTCAGCAGCCCAGGATGCATGTATAGAAGTAAGCGCCCTGGTGGAGACCTTAAACACTAATATCGGGATATACTCCGCCCTGAAGGAGAGCGTGGAGAAGGGGGACAGGTTCCCGGAGACCCAGGTGGATAAACATGTTGCTAAACTCTTCCTCCAGGATTTTCATCAGTGCGGGATACATCTTGGAGAGAAGGATAGACAGGAGGTTGTAAATATTACTGATAGAATACTTAGAACAGGACAAACTTTCTCATCAAATTGTCAGGTTTGTTATTTTCTCAGTATAGAAAAGTTCTAATTTTTTTTACATTAATTTTCTATCTCTTGGTGATCAACTTTTTCGTTATGATTTGTAAAACTAACACCTGGCGGCTTTACAGATCTCTTTCTAAATACCTTACAAGTTTTTCCTTCCTCCTCTGATGGTACCTCATCCTCAGATGGGAGGGGGGGGGGGGGATGAACGCACTCTTTGTGGGTCTGGGTTCTATAACACTGAACTTTTTATAACTATTCTATCTAAACTCTCTTTAAAACCCAGTAAAGACAACGGAAAATCAGGGGTTTCTTTGAAAGGAATGTCGCCATTTTGTTTCCTCACTTCCAGTAAATTCTTAATATTTCTGTTCATAGTAATGTAAAATTAAATGATATTTATTAGTTATCCAGAGCTGTGAGAACCTCCGTTCTTCCTAAACAGGTTCAAGGACACTTTCATCAGGAAGGAGATGTTGCCGTAGTTTCAGGACATAATCTGGATTCTCCCAGTGATATGGTTCGTGAGGCAGCGTATAAAATCTACTACTGGAGAGAGGAGGAGCAGGAGGAGGTTTTAACAAGCATGCTGCAGGATAGGCATTCTCTGGCACAACTTTGTGGTTATGAAACATTTGCACACCGTGCGCTCTCGCATAGTTTAGCTGAGGCTCCGGAGAACCTGAAGCAATTTCATTCTGTTCTGGGAACTGGTTTGCAGTCCAGGGTGGCAAAGGTAAAAAAATATCAATTTTAATCATTTAAAAATCAAATAAACATGATTTTTGGACAATCAGTGACCAAAATGGACTAATAAATTTCTTTTTCCCAGGATCACGCTGCTATTTTAAATCTTAAACGAAGAACCAATCCTCTTTGTAAACCGTTGGCAGTCTGGGATATTCCCTACTACTGTGCTCAGGCCAGGACAAGCTGGTTTAAGTTGGACACGGAGAAGATCTCAGAATATTTCTCCCTTGGAGTTGCAATGGAGGGTTTGAACGACCTGTTTAAAAGCTTGTATGGAGTAAGGTTGGAAGTAGATAAAACTGTGGAGGGAGAGCTATGGTCTCCTGATGTTTTTAAGCTTGCAGTACTAGACGATAATTCATTACTGGGATACATATACTGTGATTTCTTTGCCAGGTCCGGTAAACCCTATCAGGACTGCCATTTTACCATCAGAGGTGGGCGTCAAAAGAACGATGGTTCCTACCAAGATCCTGTTGTAGTTCTGATGTTGAACCTCCCTGCTCCAGGTTGGAGAACTCCAACCTTGTTAACTCCGTCCACACTGGACAACCTGTTCCACGAGATGGGACACGCCATGCACTCAATGCTTGGTAGAACCAAATACCAGCACGTGACGGGAACCAGATGTTCAACAGACTTTGCCGAGGTTCCCTCCACCCTCATGGAGTTCTTCGCCGCGGATCCCAGGGTTCTCTCCAGAATTAATAAACATTACAAGACGGGAGAAAGTTTACCAATTGATGTAATTGAGAAACTTTGCGCAACAAAGAAGATTTTTGCCGGAGTTGAATTACAATCCCAGCTTGTGTTCTCCGCTTTGGACCAGGTGAGTGTTTTAAAGAAAAAATTGTTCATGTTTATATTTAAGATGAGTCAATATTTAATAAACCTTAATTGTTTTAGGAATATCATGGGAAAATGCCTTTGAAAGGAAACACAACTGACGTCCTTGAAGATATTCACGGTAGATTCCATTCCCTCCCATTTGTACCCAACACAGCACCTCAGCTACGATTCTCCCATCTGGTTGGATACGGAGCTAGATACTACTCATACCTTTATGCTCGGTCTGTAGCATCAGCTATTTGGCAGACAAGTTTCCAGGATGATCCTTTCTCGGCTTCAGCTGGGAAAAGGTTAGTTGTTAACTTGTTAGGATTGTGGAGAAATTTATATTGACATAATCAGGGGCGTAGCAAGAATTTTTCAAGGGGGGGCAACATTTTTCCAGGGATGGCTCAGCAATTAGCACCCGTTGGGGCCTGAAAACCCCAAAAAACTATATTTTAATGATGGGGAGGCTAAGCCCTTAAAGCCTCCCCCCCCCCCCGGAATTAGTTTTTTTTTTCGGGTAATAATGCTGGCCCTTTTTTAAAAAGATTGACATTATACATTTTCAACGGGGTTTCAGAAACCTTTTCAACGATGTTTTCTTTCTTATTGCCACTGGTCAATGGTCAATGGTCAATTGGTCATGGCTATTTTAGAGGCCGATTCATGGATTTCTACAGCAAAGACAAATCTTCTAAGACTGTTGATGTTCTAGGTTTCGGGATGAATGTTTGTCTCACGGTGGAGGAAAGCGTAGCCTACTCCTGGTTTCAGATTTTCTCCAATATGAGATAAAACCGTCCCAGCTCGCTACAGCTTTACTTCACGAACTAGACGAGAAGAATGAAACAGTCGAGAAACTGCTTCTAAATAACTAAGAGAAAAATCGGATTAAATTTAATATTTAACTAAAACTTAATTTTTCTATTTGACCGTAGTTTAATATCAATTGGTAGGTTATAATAGATTTTATTCAGTATTGTAAAATATCAGAAAGCTTGTTAAAGCTGTTTAATTTAATCATTATTTATTCATCGTTAAATTCATCCTGTTAATTTATTTCACGGTATTCATACAGAAACTGATCAGTTCCAGATAGGATGGAGCAGTCGGAGTTCCTAGAACCAAGATTGTCCTTGGAACAGAGCAGAGAGAGGGTTATTCATTCATTCCTAACTACCAAACCGGAAATCAGTAATCTCGGAAGATCGTCGGTTTTAGATCAAGTAAGGCAATCATGATAATTCTATATTTTTCGAATTTGAATTTTTTTTACATCGAGTCACATTTACGTATTTTCTTATCACCCGTTCAAATAAACCTATGTAAAATGTTATGTCAAATGTATATTGTTTGGTTGGATTATATATATTTNCCCCCCCCCCCCCCATCCTTCTCACACCTAATTTTATATAATTAAGGAATGAAAACTTTGGCAGCTAAAATTATTAAATTGAAAATAGATTTAAAAACGGAAAAATTCAATCAAAACATTTAAACATTCATAAAGTGGCATGTCTGATTCTCAAAAGTGATGAATTCTGACAATCTCTCTCTTTATCTTCTGCTACATAAATGCGCAAGTCACTTAAGTAGAGAACAGCAATTGAGAGTTATCAATTTTAAGCGGGAAAACTCCATTATTTTTAGACAAAGATTTAAAGTGAATCGGAAAAGCCACTCTGTAAATGTATAACCACTTGAAATTACGTCTATAGTACATTTGAACAGCTGATTTATATTAAATCTAAGTTTCATTTATTCCATTGACAAGGTGAAGAGCTTCCTCCCCACCATGGCGACTGCGGACAAAGATCTGAAGACCGCGATCAAGAACGGATTGGGTGAGAAGTTGAATGTGGAGAATGTGCAGGAAGATGAGAAATATATTGAGATGGATGTGGCTGTCCTGGACGTAAGTTTTTTTTCTTAATTTTCCATTTTTTTTGTCTTGGATTGGGGATAGTAAACTAAAAATTGTAAGTAAAGGCATTGTCGATTTAACTTTAAGTGGCCTTCTTTTTTATTCTAAAAGAGGAACGCTCTATTTAAAACTTATTAATAATGTGCAAGCGGAAAAGTGGTAAGTTCAGATGAATTCCTTTCCATTTTAGAATAAATGCACTTGTCATTGGCCCCTTTGTAGAGAAACAGCCATTGAAAAAATGAACTTTAAAAAAGTTAAACATGGATATCTAATTCATTTTTCAGCAAAAAAAACTATTAAGAATACTATTGAGAATTGAACATTTCACTTTTTTATGGAGAGCCACTTGAAACTACGACTTCAGTCCCTTAAATCTAAAAAACTTTTAACAACAGAAAAACATTCAATTCTTTAAAAATTCAGATTCATTGGTAAAAATAATTTTCTTCACAGAATTTAGAGAAGGGCGGGGTAGTGGGGGGGGGAGAACAAACTTGAAGTTAGGTCGCCCTAAGCTTTGTTCATAAAAAAAACTTCAGTTCGTGGGAGAAACATAAACGAATTTTAAGGTGCACAATGCACATATCATGTTTGTGTAAGGAATGTAAACAGCGCAGAATATTGAGATTTTAAAGTTTTTTTTATCTAGATATTTCTTTTTCTTGAATTTACACCATGAGACTAATTTCTGTAAAACTCAATAACGAATGTTTATATTAGTTTAATTCACATTTACGTATTTTCTTCCCTAGATCACGTTTATGTTTTCCTTAGAAAATCAATGATTTCTATTTCTTCGGTATTTTTCATATTTTTGTCAATATCTCCCCCCGAACCTCATTAATAATTTTGGTTGAAACATAGTCTTGAATTAAAATGAATAGAACGACATGCAAGTGTGAAAATAAATTCTGTATATTAAGTGTCCTTAGGTGTCACGTTTAAAATATAATACCTAGTAGGAAAAAAGTGATTAACATACTCCTTAACAATGTATTACGTCAATTTTTGTGATAATATTAACTCCATAAACGAGGAGGATTGGTTCTTCTAGATGGGGGCTTTTTACAAATCTGAAATCTTCAATATTTGATAAAACTAGAAGTCGTTGCTCAGGACGGAGACACACCATGGACCAGCGACTCCGAAGCTGACTCAACCCCCAGCCAATCAGAAAATGATTTCACCAGTGATTCAGAGTAAGCGTTTTATTAAGCCCCCCCTAAAAATGTTTTAATAAAGGATTTTTTTCTTCATTCTGAAATTTTAAGTGAACCTCCATGAAAAGATGACAATGCCCGATTTACGACTGTACCCTTGAAACCTTAATGTGATATAAAATGTGGAAGATAACGTCGTTTTTCGACCGTTTAATCCTTACAATTTATCCAGTCTTTCTTACAAGAAACGCGCAAGTCGCTTTTGAAGAGAAATACTTCAATCAAAATAAACATTTTCAGAAACAAAAACACGGAGGAGTTCTAATTTATACTTGATAGCTTCCTCATCTTTAATCTCGTAAAGGGATAAAGTGCACCGTTGCAAATCTACCATGCTTTAACGAAGGGTCACTTGAAAATAATTTATCACATTTTTTTATTTTTTCCAGCATCTCCTCGTCCTCCGCCTGCTCCAGCAGTTCCTGCACCAGTTCAACAAAGTCAACAGTTAGAAATAAATCTCAGAAAAGACCTTTAGTAGAAGATATATCAGAACCAGCCGCCAAATCAACCAGAACGGAATCCTGATATACTTTATACATATAGTCTAGTAGCAATTCTATCATATGTCAATCTAACATTTTAGAATAATCAAATAATGTAAAAAGCAATTCCAAACATATTCGAGGATTCAGGATCCTCATCAGAAAAAAAGAATAATTTTTCTTGTTAGAGGCCAATTTAACATAAAATATGATCCTAATTATGTTTTGAAAATACCTTCAGCACAGAAATAGACCAAGGACTTGTAATACTAATGAAGAAATTTTATTGATCAGAACCTAGGTTTCTTGTTCTATTGATCCTCTAAAAAAATCTAGTTTTTCTTTTATGTTTTAAAATTGTTCTTACTTCTGGAACCTATGTCGATTAATTTACTGAATAATTTCAGAAGTGAAAATGAAATTCTCGTTCCAGTTTTCCAACCTGTACGGGACAGTTTACAGGAACGGAGATCTTATATTTACTCCGGACGGGAATACTGTTATATCTCCAGTCGGGAACAAAATATCTCTCTTTCATCTGAAGAATCACAAATCCGAAACTTTACCAATAGGTGAGCAATGGCATTCTCATCGTTGAAGTTTATATGTTCAGTAAATATGTAGGTGCTTCTTAAGCTGGAGGAGGGGGATATCCCCTCCCTTCCCTACTCTGAACATTTATTTTTGATCTTCTATTTAAAAGTGGAAAACTTATCTTTTGATAAGAGAAAACTCATTTTTAAACTTCCACATAGTTTTCCCTTGGAGTCCCAGAGGGAAACGCTCTATGACCGTCTCTATTTATAAAACCGTAGGAAATTCATCAATGTAAGCAGATAAGTCCGTGAATTATAATTTTATGATGTAGAAAGAAAAAATGGCGACTTAAAAACAAAATTTAGAAACGGGTTCTAGAAAAAAAGGGTTAGAAGCGCCCTAATATCCTATAATTCAGAAAAGATAATCACTTCAGGATTTAAATTTATTTATAGCCAAAAATACATTAGACAAAACAAAAGACGTTTTTCACTGGTTTTATTTAATTAAAATGAAAAGAGTGTATTATTATTAGATTTTATTTTCAAATAAAAGTTTTTTAATTCTTGTTGGCCATAATCTCCTAAGATAAACATTGGGGCCTAATCGGTTCAGCCGTTTTGACGTTGTCTTTCCCCGGGGTTGTTAAGTGGAAATGAGATATTTTCTTGATATTTTAACGTTAACATGTCAAGTTACTGGAAAATAAAATGCGGATTTAAATATAAAAACTAAAGAATTAAGTGTTAAATCATAAACTTGTCCGAGGCAAAAAGAAATTAAAATTATCTGTTTTCTGATTAATGTGAGCGAACCATCATCTAATCTAAATTTCATAATGATTTCCAAAAATTTTGTTTATTTTTTAAAATAATAATCCTATTTTATAAACTAAGATGGAATTTTTAACTTGCTTTTGAAAATTATTTGCCGTATTATTTAAGCTTAAATAAAGCTAAAAATGCGGAAAAATATTGAAAAGAGCGCCTGTGTCTCTGTCCCAACATTTTATAGATCACCTTTCAATTTTCGGATCATTAAACATTGAGATAAAGAGATAATAGGGGAGATCCTTCACTGTTTTTAAGCCATGAATTTTTTAAGGCTTTTTAAAAAATATTTAGATTTATCATTAGTCAAGTAGAATTGCAATTAGGTTTAATTGTTTCAAAGGCAAATATTTTTAATTTAAATGGATGTTTGATCGCGATAAAAGAGGTGTCTTACACTGAATTTCGTTGTAAATTGTTAAGTCTGGATTTACAAATATTGTTCATAGTCGTTAAAATCTTTATTTTCTTTCCAATCAACAATCACCATGAGACCTCTCTCTAGTCACGTTGAAAATGTTTATAATGGGGAGTTAGTCTATTCTTATTGATATGTTTTTGTATAAGGACCATTCCTAGAACTTGAACCATCATCAATCATGTTTTATTAATAATTCGTTCAGTCAGATATTTTTACAGTTAACACTCATCTTTTTTTTAATCTAACTTTTGTTCTTTCATTGTGTCTTGGGCCTCAGGGTTTCTTACAGATTTTTACTTCAAGTTCAGGTTTTATAAATAGTTTGTTTCATAACCGTGTTTTGGTTTTATAATTGAATTCAGTTTCATGGTTGAGTTCAGGTTGCATGATTAAGTTTAGGTTTCATGGTTAAGATTAAGTTTAATGGTTGAGTCAGGTTTCATGGTTTTGTTCAGGTTTCATGGTTTAGTTCAGGTTTCATGGTTGAGATCAGGTTAAATGGTCGAGTTTAGGTTGCATGATTAAGTTTAGGTTTCATGGTTGAGTTCAGGTTTCATGGTTTAGTTCAGGGTTCATGGTTTAGTTTATGTTTCATGGTTGAGTTCAGGTTTCATGGTTTAGTTTATGTTTCATGGTTGAGTTCAAGTTTCATGGTTTAGTTCAGGTTTCATGGATAATTTCAGGTTTTATGGTTTAGTTCAGGTTTCATGGTTGAGTTCAGGTTTTATGGTTTAGTTCAGCTTTCATGGTTGAGGTCAGGTTTCATTGCTTAGTTCAAGTTTCATGGATTAGTTCAGGTTTCAAAGTTTAGTTTAGGTTTCATGGTTGAGTTCTAGATTCATGTTTGAGTTCTGGTTTATTAATTAAATTAAGGGTTGATGATTGATTTCGGGTTGAGGTTCTTTTATTTAAATTAAGCCTCTAATGAAATAAACGTATATGATGTCGCATTCAGTTTTTTGACGAGATTTATATATTAAATTATGGTTCAAAGTTGACTAACGATAAATATTATTGGAAATCTTTAAGTATTTCCGTTGTCAAAATACAAATTATCAATTAAATCTGTTTAGAATCCCGATATAATTACACCACTATTGCGCTTTCTCCGAACGGAGTTACTCTGATAGCAGTAACAGAAGATGGAGAGATTCATCTGATATCACTTATCAGCAGAACTGTTTTACACAGGTACAAGTCGTACAGGGTACATTTTTCATTTATATAATACAGCGTTGCTTTTAACTTTTTTAAACTCTGCCAACATTAAAAATGTGCAAATTTTCTAATTAATTGGTTAAAAACGGAAAAATATTATGTTCACTTGCAGGCAATTACAGAAAAATTAAATTCTCCCTTAAAAAGTCTAAAAAGTGAATTTCTTCCAAAAAAAAGCTAAATACATTTTATAACCAGAAGTAACGGAGCTAAATTACAAGAAGTGAAATATTTAATTAACAAAATGTCAAAAGACGTTAAAAATTGACGGTTTTTTGTTTCCATTACCGCCAAATAATGGAAATTTTTTTCTGATACCCGTCTTGCTTAATTTGAAATGTGTTTTTTTTTTCTCGACTTTCTTCAGAGTCGATTTCTTTTTTAAAACTTTGAATGCTAGTGACAAAACACATTTTTTTGTTTTGTTTTTAATTTCAGATTAGAATTCATCTAAAAAGTGTTGTACAATTTATAGGCTGAAAAGTTTTGATCTAAAAGGGATCGTGATAGCGTACCCCAGTTAGTCAAAGAGTCCAAGGGAAACCTCTAGCATCTTGAATTGAATTGTTTAAGTTGAAATGGAAAAAAAATTATATCATATTTGATTTTTAACTGCAATGCACATTTTTTTTAACTATTATTTTATACATTTATTTTCTTTACTTTAGGTTAAGAACAAACCGGGAGATATTAAGCATCAAGTTCAGTCCGGACTCTAAACATTTTGCACTGACGAAGGAGGATAATGTGTTTGTTTACAAGAGTCCCGGACCATACTCAAACGATTACAGTCCTTTCGTCATGGAAAAAATATTAAAGGTAGATTATTTGTTTTCCCCTCAGTCAAGAGCTTAAAAACATTGTTTTGAAATTATTATTTTATGGATTTGATTTGGTTTGGTTTCATAACCGAGAAAAATGTGCACAGTTACTTTTTGTTATTAGCAAATTTCTAGTTTCTACCATTTCCTCAGAAATTCCATGTCAATTAATTTTAATATTGAATGTTATCATTCATGTAAAAAGTTCCATCATTCATTGAAGAATTTTAATGACGTAGTTTCCATAAATATTGGAAGTCATTTGTCGCATTTCCTTTTTTCCGAGATAACGACAGAGCATAAGAATTAGTTTTGATGAATAAAGATTCAATATGTAATTGATAATTTCTTCTTTATATTCTCAGGGTGCGTATGATGACACTACCTGTTTAACTTGGTCGGACTGTTCCAGAATCCTTGCTGTCGGGGCTAAAGACATGACTGTACGCATTTACTCTCTGGACAAGTTTAAGAACTTTTCCGTCTGCTCCCTGGGTGGAATGACAGATCCTGTGGTCGGAGTTTTCTTTGAATCCAACTCTTTAGATTGTTACAGTATCAGTGGGGGAGGACAGATTTCCGTATGGGAGAGTAGTATTGATGTTGAGAGCTTGGAGCTCGGAGACCCTGTTAAACCACCCAAAAAGAGAAAGAAGGTCGAGGAGGACGAGGAGGATGACCTGGAGGAGAACAAGGACGTCGAAGTGCTCGAGTCCGATGAGAAGGGAAATGAAGTGTCTCGTCTCATTTATACAAGAAGTGCGCGACATTTTCTACGGAATCATATTGAAGACGGAAAGTCAAGGTTTAGTCTCACAGCAACAGATTTCCATCAAAAAACTAAAATTCTTGTAACTGGGTTCAGCAACGGAATATTTCTTCTCCTAAGCATGCCTGATGCAAGTCTTATTCACAGTCTTGCAATCTCGGAGCAATCCATCAAATCCATCCGGTTCAATGCTTCGGGGGATTGGATTGCTTTCGGTTGTCCTCAGCTGGGTCAGTTGCTTGTATGGGAGTGGCAGTCTGAAACCTATGTATTGAAGCAGCAGGGCCATGCTAACGGTATGACGAGTTTATCCTATAGTCCTGACGGTTCCCTGGTTGCTACTGGCGGAGCAGACGCCAAGGTTAAATTATGGAACACTAGCTCAGGGTTCTGTTTCATCACGTTCCATGAGCATGAATCTTCTGTCACAGGAATTTGTTTTACTCCTAATGGGAAGGTGGTATTGAGCTCGTCTTTAGATGGAACAGTGAGAGCATTTGACCTTGCCAGATACAGGAATTTCAAAACCTTCACAACCCCACGACCAGTTCAACTTAGTTGTGTTAGAGTCGACTCTAGTGGTGATCTAATAGTTGCTGGAGGACAGGACGTATTTGAGATATATCTCTGGTCCCTGACTACAGGACGGTTGGTGGATGTACTAGCAGGACACGAAGGACCAGTATCTGCTGTATCTTTCAGTAGTAACCCTACTTCTAGCCAGCTGGCCAGCGTATCTTGGGATAAAACATTAAAGATTTGGGATGCATTGGAGAACAACAGCTCTAGAGAAGCTGTACAGCTAGTGAGTGAAGGTATCGGGGTATGCTGGAGACCTGATGGTTTAGCAGTATCCGTCTCAACCCTAACCGGACAAATTTTAACTTTTGATGTGAAATCCTCTGCTCAGATTGGAACCATCTCCGGCAAGAACGATTTAAAAATGGGTAAAGGGGAATCAGACAAGATATCCTCCAAGAAAAAGTCCGAGACTGCTCACTTCAGCTCCTTGTGCTATTCTGCGGATGGATCATGTATCCTGGCAGGCGGAACCTCAAAGTTTATTTGTATTTATAATGTCTTGGAACAGATTCTTCTAAAGAAATTTGAGATCACACAGAACCGGTCCTTTGACTGCATGGACGAGACGATTAACCGAAGAAAGATGACCGAATTCGGAAACATGGCTTTGGTTGAGGACAGAGAGGATGGACATGCTCTCAAGCTTCCCGGAACCAAGGCTAGGGATATGTCTTCTAGAAGTATTAAACTAGAGGTTCGGGTTTCCGGTCTTAGATTTTCTCCGACCGGTCGATCCTTCTCTGCGGTTACATCCGAAGGGTTGCTAGTATACTCGCTAGATCGGCATTTGGTATTCGATCCGTTCCTTCTAGAAACTAAAATTACACCAGTGTCTATCCGAAAGGATATCCAGAGAAAAGAGTTTGGGAAATCTCTGGTAGCAGCATTCAAGTTAAACGAGAAAAGTTTGATACGAGAAGTTTTTGAACAGATTCCAGTTTCTGATGTATCTCTCCTTGTCACAGAGATGCCCATCCTCTTTATCACCCAGCTTCTTAACTACATTGGTGAGGAGATGGAGGAGACGAAGCATCTCGAATTTTACCTAAAATGGTGTCAATCCATACTGCTACAGCATGGAAGTTATATTAAAGACAATTCAAATGAGTTCATGCCTATTTTGAACCTAATGGTGAAAAATATCTCACAAAAATCCAACAACCTTGGCCAAGTGTGCGACCATAATAAATTCACCATTAAGTACCTTCTTCGAGTTGGAGAGAAGAAGGATAGTGAGGAAGAGGAGAAACCGGAGGAGGAGGATGCAGTTGAAGAGGTTGAAGATGAAGAGGAGGATGTGGACATGGAAGGGCTCACTTCTAAGTGGTCGGACGATGATGATGATAATAACGAAAGTGAGGATGAAGATAGTAATTAAATATTTTTTCAGATACTACAAGACAAAATGGCGAAGAGTTTGAGATCTAAGTGGAAGAGGAAGATGAGGGCAGTTAAACGAGTTAAGAACTTAGAAAAGGTAATTGAAATATATATAAATAAAGGTATGGATCAATCTTATCAACAAACCGAGGAGAATCAGGAATGATTCTGCTCCGGGCGGACCGCCCAGCAGTAAGCCTCCTACCGGGGTGGTGGAAATACTACCCTTGGATACGTTAGGTCGGAGAGGAGCGCCAACCCCAACCTCACCGAGTGCAGGGTTGTCTTTCAATAATAATAATATAAATATATTAAACCCTGAGAGTGGGATTTAATTTAATTTTATTTTATTTAGCTTAAAAAATGTTGAAATTAAATGACTATTATATTTTATTTTAACTCTTTAAACGCAAGATGTGGAATGTGGATTATGAAAATGCAAAAAGGAGTTGTTATGATTAAAACGTTTTCTGAAATATCTCATTTTTATTACTCCTTGTCACTTCCATGGCCGGACTCTCTCGTTTTAATGTTTCTGATCATTGAGGTGTGGATTATCTTTAAGGTTCAACAACAGGAAGAAAGTTTTTATAAAAGATTGTTCTAGGAGAAGGTGATGTTGGTGAAGATGGTGGACAAGGCGAAGAGGAACGAGGATGTGGAGATGAAGACAGCCGAAGATATTAAAGAGGTGAGAATTGATCCAAGATCTATTTATACACAACACATAACAATTATTCAGAGTTCTGTTTTTAATGGGGTTGGTCACGTTTTAGACTTCTTTATAAAGAACTTTGACCTAAAGGAATGCTGAAGAAATCATTCCGCTCTATACATTTTTGTTTGAAGCTTATTATCAAGTTAATCGAAACATTTTTTTCAAACTTACAGATTTAAAGAATATTTATAATAATATGAATAATTTGAAACGCTGTTTGTTACGGTTATTATCATTACTATTGAATAGATTTCTCACATTTTATTTTTAGAATTTAAGATTATGATGCAAAGTTATCATAAACGTTAACATTATTTAAGTTGGAAAGTTTCAAGAAAATATTTAAAAAAACTTTCAACAAAAATGGAAAGAAAGATTTTTGAGAGGTGGGGAATGATTTTTAATGAAAACATCGTATTTTATAGTCCCAAAGTACAAGAACTTAGAATCGGAGTAGATCATAACGTTATATTTGAAAATAAATTTAACTCAAGTCTATTATAAATGTACTTAGGACAGGATGGAAACCTCAAGTAAGCCTGAATTCAACCCCCGAACAATGAAGAACAAGGACGGAAACTATCCTAAATGGTTGTCAAAAGCCAAGGTTCAGAAACTCAAGCTTGCAAACAAGAGCAAGGTTAAAAACAAGAAGAAGAATAAAACCAAGAATTGAACTTGTTTTCAGTGTTTATTTTTTAATAAATTTGATTATTTTTCCGTAAACCCGATGTTGTTGAATGTATTACGTCAATNTCTTGTTATTGTTGTTGATTTGTAATTGTTATCTTGTTATTGTTGTTGATTTGTAATTGTTATCTTGTTATTGTTGTTGATTTGTAATTGTTATCTTGTTATTGTTGTTGATTTGTAATTGTTATCTTGTTATTGTTGTTGATTTGTAATTGTTATCTTGTTATTGTTGTTGATTTGTAATTGTTATCTTGTTATTGTTGTTGATTTGTAATTGTTATCTTGTTATTGTTGTTGATTTGTAATTGTTATCTTGTTATTGTTGTTGATTTGTAATTGTTATCTTGTTATTGTTGTTGATTTGTAATTGTTATCTTGTTATTGTTGTTGATTTGTAATTGTTATCTTGTTATTGTTGTTGATTTGTAATTGTTATCTTGTTATTGTTGTTGATTTGTAATTGTTATCTTGTTATTGTTGTTGATTTGTAATTGTTATCTTGTTATTGTTGTTGATTTGTAATTGTTATCTTGTTATTATTTTTATCAGTTTTATCAACGTACTGATTTGGGTGTAGACATCGATCAAAGGTTTAAGTAAAATTAAAAAATTTAATTGTAAATAACATTAATATTTAAGAAATAAGGATAGAAGAATTCATACTTGATCGGACAAAGCTTTTAAAGGCACCGTAGGGAATCGGGCCTTGCCATCTTTGTATGAAGGGTCACTTGAAAATACGTTTTCAGTCCCATTAATTCAACGTGCATATGAAATTATTTTTCGGAAGTAAGGGGTAAGGGTCAAGGAAGGAATAGTGGAGGATCGGAGAAGGGACTTGATAAAAGATGGGAGTATGGAATCCTTGGATATTTTTGGAGGAAAGGATTTAGGATCGAAGAAGGAACGTGTTAGGTTGGAGGAAGGAGGTCTAAGGATTGGATGAGGGAAGATTGAAGTATGGGAGTAGGGGAAGGTTAAGGATGGAATTTGGGGAAGAGTTTAGGATGATTAAGGAAGGGTTAAGAATGGGAGTAGAGGGAGTAGAGGAGGGTCGAAAATGGGAGTAGGAAAGTATCTTAAGGATAAGATTAAAGTAGGGCCCGTTACGTTATGAAGGAGGGGAGTGGAGAAGTGTTAAAGATTAAACAAGAATAGGACTGTAAGACTCAAAGTTACGATTTCATATAACCCCATATATCTGCATTTAAGGAAGGAAAGGATTGACGAGAGGAAGGAAGGAGGGAAGGAATGATGATGGGCCGACAAGAGGAAGGAAGGATCGAATGAATGATTATGTACGAGGACGGAAGGAGGAATGATGATGATGAGGATGGTAGGATCGGGAAGGAATTATGATGTGGACGTGAGGAGGGAAGGAATGATGGTGAGGACAGGAGGAGGGAAGGAATGTGAAGGGACGGACATGGTGAAGAGAGAGATCGAGGGGTTGTAACTTGTAACTTTGGATGAAATTTAAAGTTAAATATATTTAGAAGCTTAGTTTCAAATTCTGTTAGCTTTATTATTTCTTTTTCTGAAATTCAAATTTACTTAGTATCCCGCTCCTTGGACTCCTTGCAAACAATTTCATAAATTACAGTCGTCTTTTAAATTTCATTCCCCCCTACTGAACTTCTGACCTACTAAATTTCCGAACAACTGCAATATTGGACCTACACGACCTACACCATCTGTGTATTTTCGTATTATTTGAGGAATAGGAATTATGTCAAAACAATTTCTGAGCCGAGCGCTAAGGCTAGAGGCCGAGGGCCGAGTGCTGCGATTAGAACAGGCGAGGGGCCGTGCGCTGCGGCCACAAGTCCATCTAGTGGCTGTAAGACCACGTGCTAGTAGGTCGTATGTGTAGTATAGCGGATTTGCGTAGGTCAAAAGATACACCATCTCCACCATCCAATAAACTTGTTTACCCGGTTTCTTGAATATTGAACGCGGCAACAGATATTTTAGTTCAATGCTGATTTTTGAGTACGATTGTGGGGAGAGTCTTAGCCAGGAGTGAGTAGGGAATTTCTTATTATTTCTACGTCGAATTTAACACATAGCAGGATAAAAAAATAATTTTTTATGTCTTTGGTAATTTCCCAGAGAGAAATTTTTTGAGAAATGAACTAAGAAAATAAGACAGAAAAGTTAGAAAATAAGACAGAAGTTAGGAAGAAAGGCAGGAAAGTGAACTAAAAAAATAAGGCAAAGGTTCTACGCAAGCTTGAGGCGGCTCAGGCTGCAGCTCGACCTAACTACTATCAGATACTGGGGGTATCTACTTCAGCTAGTTTACAGAAATTTAGAAATCGTTTACATATATTCTAAATTTGTTAGGAAATCAAGAGATGTAATATCAACAAAACGAATATATCAATTAAATTATATTTTTTTTTCAGATATATTTGCAAAATTAAAACTGTGCTGTGTCTTTAATGACAACTGATATTATTAAAGTAAACTGGCATTGTTCGCATGATATTTTAAATGTAAATTGTTAAACCTACCGCACCGACACGTAAGTTTTACTCGGTTTATAAGATTTCAAAAGTCCGTCTAGTGTCTACTCTAGCTTCCCTCCTCCCTCCCNCTTCTCATTTTTTCTGTCCTTCCACAACCCCTACCTTTCATCCCACAACCCCACCTTCCTTCACCCCATTCTCTTCTTCCTCCCTACTTTTCATTCCCCTACCCGTTCTCCAAACCTTCCTACCTCCACCCCATATCCTTCTTCCCCCCTACCCGTTCTCCAACCCTTCCTACATCCACCCAATACCCTTCTTATACCCTACTCCTCATTCCCCTCCTTACTCTACCCTTCTTCCTTCCCCGGCCCTTCTTCCTCTCCCAGCCTTTCTTCCTTCCCCTACTATTCCTACCCCTGCTATCCTCCAATCCCTTACCCTTCCTTCCCCAATACCACGGTCCTTCTTCCTTTCTCTACCCTTCATTCCCCCTACCACGGTCCTTCTTCCTCCCCCTTACCCTTCCTTCCACTACCCCGGCCCTTCCTCTTCCTACCCATCCTTCCCCTACCCCGGCCTTTCCTCCTTCTACCCATTCTACCCCAACCCATCCTTCACCTACCCCGGCTCTTGCTCCTCTTACCCTTCCTTCCTTACCCTACCCTTCCTTCCTCAGTCCTCACCCTACTCTTCCTTCCCCTACTCATCCTTCTTCTAACCCGGTCCTTGCTCCTCCTACCCTTCCTTCCTTCTCCTATCCTTCCTTCCTCCTCCTATCTTTCCATTCTCACCATAGGAGCCATCACCTAATTGACCCGTCTATCGCCAAAAATGTCTCATGTTTTTCCCAAAATTAGAGACGAGACAAATCGTGATTTTCTTAAACAATTTTCCTTGATTTCAAAGCATTTTATGACTGCTATCCTTTACATCTTATCAACAAACAGGGGGACATATATTTCTCTGTTAAACCCCCCTCCCCCATTATATTTTTTATTTTCGCTGTATTGGGGAAAAAAATGGTTTTGTTTGGAAAAAAACATTTCAAAAAAGTTAAAACAATTTAAAACAAATTCTCGGTGTAGGTAGGTTCTTCAGACTGTTTCTAGAATTGCAATAAATCAAAATGTCAATTCAGTTTCTAAACCAGTGTCTAGAGCAGACACAAGGACTCAAAAACTCTGAAACGGGAAATATCCTTGCTCAACGGGCAGCTGTACTCTACGCAATGGGAAACTTTGCTGACGTCTATGTTGATCTAAAGGCATGTCTTAAACTCAATGGATTGGACTTAAACGATTTAGAACGAATTGCAGATCTTCTGTTGAAGCTTGGAAAATTCGAGGATGTTAGAAGTGTGCTGGAGAACATTTTCTCATATTCATCAATAAGAAAGTCCATTTTTCTTAAACAATTCAACGAGAGTGTTGTCAGTCTACACAGAGCTAATCAGCATTTGCAAAATTATTCCTACCACCTTGCTATCACTGATACAGAGAAAGGATTATTAATCTCCCCCCAGTCGGCTGATCTCATTCTCTTTAAGTGTGAGTGCTTGGTGTTCACTGGGAAACCTGAAGGAAGGAGTTGGTTCTCCAAGATAGTTTTCTCTCTACTATCTCCTGATTTACACCAGAGATACGAGCAATTGAAATCAATCCTTGACTCCAATGATGGGTCTGGAATCTCGCAAGTGCAGTGCATCATACTAATGAACAAAATGCGGGATAAGGCTAGGCTTGCCTGGGAGAACGGAGATTACACCAACTCAGAATATTTCTTTAAAACCGCCATCGCGCTTGCAAAAGATAAACTTCGTATTCAAGTCGAGCTCCGAGAGGAATGTGTTGGACTAATGCTTCAGTACAACAAGCTGGAGCAAGCAACCCATCAGATGTACATCCTCCAACAGCTGAATCCAAGTCAGTACAAGTACTGGGAGAAGTCTGGAGATGTATTGATGAAGTTATCCAAGTTTCCTCTCGCCGTGGAACAGTTCAAGAGAGCGTATGAGATGTGTGGAGATGGATCTGTTCTACGCAAGCTTGAGGCGGCTCAGGCTGCAGCTCGACCTAACTACTATCAGATACTGGGGGTATCTACTTCAGCTAGTTTCCAGGAGATAAGAGCAAAATATATCAATCTGGCAAAGGTACCTATTTTAAAAAAAAGAAGTTTTTTTTTGTAGTTGGGGTGGGGACTTAATTAACTTAGATTTTTAACATGTACATGTTCAGACGGAATTCTAAATTCCCACTTTTATTATTAGTATTTTCAAAGTTATGTAATTTTTATTTGCTTTCAAACTACATTATTTATAAATCTATCTTTAGACTTTGCATCCTGATCGAAACCAGCTCCTGAGTTCTGCGGAAAGATATGAGAAGGAAGTAAGGATGAAACTCGTTATTGTAGCCTACACCTGTCTCAGCAACCCTCAGACTAGAGCTAGATACGATGCAACCACTCTCCGAAACTACAACTTCTAATCATTCCCCAAAATAACCATTTACATGATTAACGTATCCTTATTTTATATGTTATGTAAATTTTTGTAAAACACCATTCGTTTGTGACTATTTGGCGCAACATTTTTCTATTTACGTTCCGAAATTTATTGTTGAAAATTTGTTATTTCAGACAAATACGATCTATGGGTTCAATACCTCCTGAGCTGACCCTAGCTGAAAGAATGGAGGATCTAGTACTGGGAGGAAAGTTTAAGGTTCTGCCTAGCACAGATCAAATCAAGGAGTTGCAGACCATTATTAGGGACAAGGCAACCTCCAGGTCGGATTTCAAGTTTGTCGCGGACAGGTTGATCAGGATGGTGATAGAGGAGGGGTTGAACCAGCTGCCATACACCAGCTGCGAGGTGACAACACCTACAGGCTGTTCATATTCAGGACTCAGGTATTGGTATAATAATAATAATAATAATAATGGTATCATTGGTAGTCGACTTGTTAGTTATCTAGGAAAAATACTGAATAAAGAAGTTACAAAAGAAAAAAACGTCGAAAAACACATCTTTTAAATTATCTGTTTATAAAGCAGTATTCACTGGATGTCCGATTGTAATTCAGGAACCCTTTGACCGGTTCGCCAAAAAATTTTATGGGAGAACTTGAAAGTACCACGAAAATGTTTTAATCTTGGTTTAAAAAATTCTAATTATAAAGCATTTAATACCGTGCGGGAAATAAAACTGGAGGTGACATATGTCTCTCCTAGTGGCGGTTTTATGATGTTTGTATCGGTGTCTTTCAAAATATATCTTCCGATGACCCTTTTGAGTTTTGAGTGTACCCTTTCATTGTTGCAGGTATGAGAAGGGAAACTGTGGAGTATCTATTGTTAGATCTGGAGAAGCAATGGAAAAAGCGCTTCAAGACTGCTGTAGGTTCGTGTCAGTAGGAGTATTCTATCATTCTTAAAATGGGGGGGGGAGGGAGGGCTCCCTAATTTATTTGATTTCATTCATGTAATTTCATATATCAGCTCTCACCTCTGGATGAATTTAGATCTATGCGTATTGGAAAAATTTTGGTTGATTCGGATTCTGAGACTCATGAGGCTCGGGTAGTTTTTGCCAAGTTCCCTGATGATATAGCTAACAGGTAAATGACTGAAGAATTTAAGAATTGTCCTCTTCCCCTCCCCTTACTTCTCTTCCCTTTCCCACCCCTTCCCTTTCCATTGAAAATGACGCTTATTGTATACCAATAGTTTCTTTCGTTTATCAATTATTTCAATACTTTCAAATCGTTTTTCATTCACGGTTATAAAAATGTATCCCTGTGTTTGTTTAGGAAGGTTCTCCTGCTCTACCCTATCATGAGCTCAGGGAACAAGGTTGTCAAGGCAGTTAAAGTTCTCAAGGATCATGATGTTCCAGAGGTAAATTTTCATACGAAAACTAATTTTTTGAAATTCAAAATTTCAAAATAGCAAGATATCTAAATAACTGGTTTAAGCTTAACCTAAAGTATTACCAATTATTTTGATATTTTCACCCACCATATTTTATTTATATTCAGGATCATATAATCTTTATAAACTTGTTCTGTACCCCTAACGCTGCCCAGAGAATTGTCTCCGAGTATCCGAACCTTACGATCCTCACCACAGAGCTTAACCCAGTTACACCGAACCATTTCGGGCAGAGATACTTTGGAACAGATCACGTTGACTAGAGGAACCAGAGAGAAATTACATATCTTGTGATTCTCCAGCTATGCAATCTCATGTAATTTGACTCTTTGTATTATTCTACACGTTGTATTTTCAACTGACTTTTATACATTTAATAATTGTGCCATAAAAGAGCTTATGCCGAAGTTAATTTGTCGTTTTCCTCAGGCTGTTGTATAATGGATGTTTATTTTATTCCTTTTAACAATTAAGAAATTTACATGTTTCAGAAGACAATGTCCTATACACTCTACCAGGGGACAAGGATAGGACAGGCTCTCAAAGAAGCACTCGAAGAAATGGAGGTTAGAAAATTAAATGCGGGAAAGATGTAATTAAGGCAGAGAAGTTAGAAAATAAGGCGGAGAAATTAGAAAATAAGTCAGAGAAATTAGAAAATAAGGCGGAGAAATTAGAAAATCAGGCGGAGAAGTTAGATACATGACAGAGAAGTTAGAAAAAAGATATAAGTTAGAAAAGAAGACAGAGAAATGAACTAAGAAAATAAGACAGAAAAGTTAGAAAATAAGACAGAAGTTAGGAAGAAAGGCAGGAAAGTGAACTAAAAAAATAAGGCAAAGTTAAAAATAAGGCAGATAAGTTAGAAAATAAGGCAGATAAGTTAGAAAATAATGCAGATAAGTTAGAAAATGAGGTAGAGAAGTTAGAAAATAAGGCAGATAAGTTAGAAAATAAGGCAGAGAAGTTAAAAAATAAGGCAGAGAAGTTAGAAAATAAGGCAGAGAAGTTAGAAAATTAGACAGAGAAGTTAGAAAATAAGGCAGAGAAGTTAGAAAATAAGGCAGAGAAGTGAGAAAATGAGACAGAGAAGTTAAAAAATAAGGCAGAGAAGTTAGAAAATAAGACAGAGAAGTTAGAAAATAAGACAGAAGTTAAAAAATAAGGCAGAGAATTTAGAAAATGAGACAAAGAAGTTAAAAAATAAGGCAGAGAAGTTAGGACAGAGAAGTTAGGAAAGAAGGCAGAAAAGTGAAGGTAGACAATAAGGCAGAGAAGTAAGAAAATGAGACAGAGAAGTTAAAAAATAAGGGAGAGAAGTTAGAAAATAAGGCAGGGAAGTTAGAAAATGAGACGGAGAAGTTAAAAAATAAGACAGAGAAGTTACGACAGAGAAGTTAGGAAAGAAGGCAGAGAACTGAAAGTAGACAATAAGGCAGAGAAGTTAGAAAATGTGACAGAGAAGTTAAAAAAATAAGGGAGAGAAGTTAGAAAATAAGGTAGAGAAGTTAGAAAATGAGACAGAGGAGTTAAAAAATAAGGCAGAGAAGTTAGAAAATGAGGCAGAGAAGTTAGAAAAAAAGGGAGAGAAGTTAAAAAATAAAACAGAGAAGTCAGAAATTGAGGCAGAGAAGTTAGAAAATAAGACAGAGAAGTTAGAAAATAAGGGAGAGAAGTGAGAAAATAAGGCAGAGAAGTTAGAAAATGAGGCAGAGAAGTTAGAAAATAAGGGAGAGAAGTTAAAAAATAAAACAGAGAAGTCAGAAATTGAGGCAGAGAAGTTAGAAAATAAGACAGACAAGTTAGAAAATAAGGGAGAGAAGTTAGAAAATAAGGCAGAGAAGTTAGAAAATAAGGGAGAGAAGTTAGAAAATAAGGCAGAGCGAGAAAATAAAGCAGAGAAGTAAGAAAAGCAGGAAAGTGAGAAAAGGTTAGAGAAGTCACTAAATAAATAAGTGAAGAGTAACGATTATGACTAAAACCCAGAGGGAAAAGAATGAATACACATAAAAGAATGAAGATCATGGATAACAAAATGAAAATAAACTATTAGAAAGAAATGAAATATAAAAGATCGAATTATTGGAAGTAAGAAATCATAATTAAAGGGATAAAAGCAAACCGAAATCGAAGAAGAATTTAAATTGCAGATAAAATAAATAAGAAAAAAAAGAGAAAAAAGTGAGGAAAAAAAAGAAGAAAAATTAATTAAATAATAAATAAATGATTTAAAACCAAGGAAAGCTTAAAAGATTTCAACTAGTTTAAAAGATTAATATTTTTACTGCAGGAGTATGAGCAGATTAGTCCCAATGTGAAGAGAACTATAATGAGAAAGTTTGATGAAACTATCTGTGATACTCTACAGAATCAAGTGGATAACCGACTCATCATGCGAGCTGATCGCCTCTGGTCATTCAGGTTTTTAACCTTTTTTAAAGGAGAGTTTTTCTCTGATGCTTTTCTCAATATTAAATGAGCAGGCATACTAAGCATTATTTTTTTTTCGCAAATGGTAAGCAACTTTTTTGTGCTTGTATATGTAATAGTTCAGGTTCCTAATTTCCATTTCCATTCCATATAATTGTGAAAAATTTCTTTTGGAAATCAAAACTCAGTACATTTGTATCTTCATGCATTTAAAATTTTACAATTAAAATTGAACGGTCGACTGAGAAAAGTAGAAGAAAAAACGTGAATTTTAAGAACGCTGATCCCAGATATAAGGCGGCATTTCCTCTTAAAGGGAGTGTTCGCCTTGTTCTTCAATATTGGCCGCAAGTGAAGGTTTTTAGCGGCCTGCAGCAACGTCCTTTGATTTTTCTTTTTCTCTAAAGCCAGATATCTAAAATAAGATTTTTAAATATTATCTATTTTTCTAAAATGAAACTTATTCTTTGTGTTTGTTAAGATTTTGTGATTCTGTCTGGCAGCTTCTTCTGAAGAATGTTGAGTTCTTGACCAGCTCAGGGAACCTTGTTGCATCAGTTAACGGCAAGGTTGTATTTAATTAATTAATTTCTTATCATTGTCAATTTCGGAAGTTTTTCGTTTTTATTGGCTCATTTCCAAAGTTTAAATAATGGATTTTTTGTGTGCCAAATTTTCAAGTTACTGACAATAAACTTTCCCTGGCTATATGAGGTTCTGCAAATATTTGGACCTGATCGGTTCAGTCTTTTTGACGTTTATTGGACACAAACAGACAGACAGCCAAACCCAAACAAACAGACAAGCCAAACATTCAGAACTAGTGCGCCCTTGAAATATTGACTCAATTTTATTGTTGTCTCATTGTTGATCCTTTAGAATCTAATTATTGCAAAATAGTTATTAATTTTAAAAGTTGCATGCTTTTTCGAACTTTTTTACTTTTTTGACCATGATTTATTAACATTTTGATTGTTTTACCAATAAATGATCTTACAAGTTAGTAACTTTTAACAAATTGATCTTTTAGGTGAAGATAGTTGCATGTGATGCTCGGAAACCTGATCGAAGATGATTGATCTGATGATTTCTCTCCTGTTCTAATCTAGTTCATTACAATCAATCCGATTTTATTAATCAGTTATATCAATCACACGTTAGATTACATTCGTTAAAATATTTCAATGACTTATTTCCATTAGAAAACATTCACTTATACAACATCAAGATGCTTCATTTAGGATTCAAACATCAACATATTTCATTGATAAAACATTTAAATGAAAATCTTCTTTAATCACAAATCAGAGTTCAGTTTTCTAAATTCTTTTTGTTTACACTTTTAGTATGTATATTATTTCTATCAGAATCCACTCAAAACCAAAGAATTTTCCGCATTTGAGATTTGATTTTAGTTGATCTGCATGCGTTTTCATTATTATTCTGTACATGTTACATAATTGCAAAAATAAAGTCAAGACAATTTGATGCTTTAGAGTATTTATATTTGATGTAAGAGTTTGTGATCAGTGAGAACTAAACCGTTTATTTAATTTACTGATAGGAAATTTCTTAAAATATATTATATATACGCAAATCTTTATGCGTGTTACGTATTGCGTTGTTTTACCTTAATTACGTATAATTGCTGTGTTAGAAACCATTGTTTGGTTTCAGTCGTTTTCTTAGGTCGTGATCAGTGAGAGGTTAGGTTATGGTTTAGATGTAGCTGAAGAATTTTTTTTAAATTCTAGAATAGATCAGTTAGTTAGATAACATTTAAATCCAAATTAAGTTTTTAATGAATTCACAAAGAATTAGGTTCGTTTTTTTCCAAATGCATATTTTATATTTGAAGTCTACATACTATAGAGAGAAAACACTAAATCTTAAATGACGTATTACACAAACATTCAATCAATCACTATTCCGTAACTTCAGGGCTGAGTTTTCGTCGATGTTTTATTTCTTAGTTGTTTGTATGTCCGATCATAACAAGTGAACTCTTTCACCGATTTGCCTCAAATTTAGATTAAGGAATTCGACCGAACCACGTGAATGTTCTTAGCTTGGTTTAAATATTCTAAATGGAGTGGGATGACTATAGAAGAGAAAGTTTGCTGTACCCTAATTTGAATTGTTTTGTACATACTGAAGTCACCGGTTCTAACGACAGAAAACAATGATCACCCTTCTTGTAATTCTGTTTGATCTGAAGTATCTGAGCTCTAATGTTCCTAATTCCAGGTTGGAATGAAAAATTTATTTTTCAGAAAAAATGTCCAAGTACAAATTGAATCCGTTAAATATTGGAGCGGAGGTTTTTGGTTTGGATTTGAGTAAGCAGGTTTCAACTGAAACCAAGGAAATCATTAAGAAGGATGTGTCTCAACACCGGATCCTGGTTTTTAGAAATCAACGTAGGAATATTGATTATAGAGCAAAATCTTTAAAAAAAAAACATTTTTCGTCCCATCCCTCTCCTGCCTATTATTGTGTACACTTTTAAAAACTGATCTATTAACAGAGTAAAATTTAATAAAAAACATTTTCTGAATTCCACGGTAATTACAACTTTATCAAGGTTGTCAAAAAGCTGTGTACACTTGCCTGCCCATAATTCAGTGCTTGAAAATATTGAGCAAAAATAAATGCAGTCTAAGTTGAGAAATCATATTGAATTAAAGTGTACGGGATTTTTTGCAAGTTGTTTTCTTCCCCGCACTTCAAAATATTACTTAATATATTTATCAGTCATAACGTTAACATTTTCTGATATGTATTAAACTTTGGATCATAAAATTAGTCAAAAAATGCAAGATTTATTTTAGAATTGGTTGATAAAAAAGATATCGTTCCATTAAAATAAGATAATGAATGTACTAAATGTAAATTTTTTAGAGAATATATCTCCCGAACGTCACGTTGAGATCGGTCAATGGTTCGGAGAAATAGAGTCAACCTTCTATAATCATCCAAAATCTCCACTTAGAGATATATTTAGAGTATCAAACGATAGAACGGAAGGGTAAATATTGAAAAATAAATACTACTTGAAAGTTTTTTTCGAACATTTTTAATTTTTGAAATCAATAAAATCCATAAATTATATTTTGGGGTTTAAGAACACTTAAATTTCACTAGTCTGTAATTGAGCTGTTTAACTCACTCTAGCTGGTTTTAAGTCTGCCTCTTATTTGAAATTAATCCGAGTTTTCAGTGTTAGTAACTTAAATAATAAATATAATTGAATTAACAATGCCATAAATAAGTCATAAAGAAAAGTTATTTTTGAAGAATGTTTTAATTTCAATTGAATACTAAAAAGTGCTCTTCTTGTATTATAAAAATTGATTAAATATTAAAATATAAAGGTGCACAAATGTTGGAAGAACAGGTTGGCATATTGACGGTAGTTTCCAGCGTGCACCCTTCTCTCACTCTCTCTACCACATCATATCCGTTCCACAAGATGGAACCACATCCTTCGCTCCTCTCACAGATATTATAGAGACTTTGTCTCCAGAGCGTAGGGATCTCTGGGAAAGATTGTGGATGGTTTCAGAACATCAGTCCGGTCCAGTACACCCACTTATTTATAGGTAATTCACTCCATAGTCCATCTGTATGACAATTAAAGAAATATCATCTTGTTACTCCCCTTTTGTACATGTCCTCCCCTTGTCTACAGGCTCCTCGTTGTGTTCAGGTGCCCCTGTTGTGTACAGGTACCCCCTTGAGTGTAGGTACTCCACTTGTGTATAGTTTCGCCCCTTGTGTGCAGTTACTCCCCTTGTGTACAGGTACTCCACTTGCGTATAGTTTCTCCCCTTGTGTACAGGTACTCCACTTGTGTACAGTTACTCCCTCTGTGTACAGATACTCCACTTTTGTACAAAAACACCCCTAGTGTACAGGTAACTCCACTTACGTATAGTTGCTCCCCTTGTGTACAGGTACTCCACTTACATCTAGTTTCTCCCCTTGTGTACAGGTACTCCACTTACATCTAGTTTCTCCCCTTGTGTACAGGTACTCTACTTACATCTAGTTTCTCCCCTTGTGTACAGGTACTCTACTTACATCTAGTTTCTCCCCTTGTGTACAGGTACTCTACTTGTGTATAATAGTTACTCCTCCTGTGTACAGGTACTCTACTTGTATTTAGTTTCTCCCCTTGGGTTCAGGTACTCCACTTGTATGCAGCTACTTACCTTGTGTACAGAGACTCCCAATATGTACAGGGTACAGACAATCCCCTGTTGTGCATGTACTCTTTATCTGAACAGGTGCTCCGCTGTGTACAGGGACTCCACTTGTTCTAGATATCTGTGCTACTAGATTAATTTGATAAATATTTGATCTATTCACTAATCCAGGCATCCTGAGACAAACAAGCCGGTTCTATGTTTCCATCTTGGTATGACGGAAGGGTTTATAATGGATTACGGAACGGAGAAGGAGAGAGAATGCAGTACAATAGAAAACATGGAGATTCTTCAACAAATTAAGGTTAGAGCATTTCCACTAAAAGTGGAGCAATGAATTATTTCAGATACAATAGCAACTCTATTTTTAAGATAAATAATAAATATGCTTTTTTAAAAATTTTAATTTCTAAAAAACCTCTTTATTTAGGAGGAGATCCTTCGGAAACCGGAGAGGATTTACCATCATCAGTATAAGGACGGAGACTTTATAATCTCCGACAACCTGGCGGTTGGTCATGAAGCTTCTCCGGAAACCCAACTTCCGGTTTCTCAGGTACACTACAACTTTGTAATACTAAGGAAACCTATAAGATAGTTGAAAGTAAACCAAATTAGTACTTTTCTTAAGTTACGGGATTTCTTTTCTTGTTGTAATTATCATTTTAGCAATAAACGTTATAACTGTTAAATGTGATGTTATCTAAGTTTGCTCCTAATTTTACTAAGAAAGATGTAGATAAATAGATCACTTTTTAGTATTTTATTTTTGAAAGCCAGGTTATTTACCAAACCAAATTGTTCACTTTGAACGTATAAAGAATTATAAAAATTGCCTGTCAAGTTCAAACCATTTTGGTTAAAAAAAATATTCTTATTTCTCCTTGTATTTTTATCTGTACAAAAATCGGAACTTTTGTATAAATATTTTTAATCTTTAACACACTTATCTCGATATCCAATGTGGGTACTTCTGAATTAGAGGAGCAATGTATGATATCTCAATTAAAGTTATCCCTGCAGGGGATGACCATCAAGTGGTATTGAAGAGTAATTAGATTAATCAGGAAGCCTGCATAATATGGAATCTATATTTTAGATTGGGCTGAGAGTAATGCATAGAGTCACTGTAGCGGGGAAAACGTCACCAAAGAAATAAAGAACAATGTTTGATCTGAACAGAAAATTTTTTGGATTCAAATATTAATATTATTAATATACTTTTATTGCACGAATTATATTGATTTTTCTATAAATTTAATTTGTTTTAATGATAATTGAACAATATGATGTAACACTCCGATCTGTAAGACTTCAGATAACAGTTTATTGAATTGTGAGTCCGATTCACTGCAGTATCCACTAAAGCTTTGTCTGAATTAGATATCAATCAAATTTGGAAACTAATTTATTTAAGCTTAACTTTAAGTGACCATCCAAGCAAAGATGGTAATGCCCGATTTACAATGGTACCCTTGAAACCATAATCTGATAAAAAATGTGAAAAAATAAGGACGTTGTTATGACTCTAAAAGTGTTCCACAATAATAATTTTGCCATATGCTTATGAGTGAGAAATCCGTAAGTCATTTCCCAAAGGAACCGCAAATAAAAATAAACAATGTAAAGAAACAAAAACATGGATATCTAATTCATACTTGATCAGACAAAGCTTTTGAGGGCTCTGTAGTAAATCGGGCATTGTCATCTTTTCTCGGAGGGTCACTTGAATACATGTTTACAGTCGACCCTTTAGTCATTTCTACTGCAGGAAAGCAATATTGGAATTATTAGAACTTTTCATTTTAGAAAAATACATGTATACATCTTCTACATTATTGATAAAAAAATATAGGATCACTTGAAATTATGCTAACAGTCTCTTTATATTAAGAAATATCGCTCAGGATTTTGTAATTTGTAATTAACAGCTATATATGTCTAAAATCTTTCATTGGATCATTTAAGGAAAGAAAGGAAAATTCCCAAAGACTTTTAGAATCATTTGTATAATACTTGTAATACTGGTTCTTATTGCAAAGTAAATTATAATAAACAATAATTTTTTTAATCAGTAGTCAATTAAGAATAAGATTCCCTGTTCCAATTCCTTATATCTTTGCAACCAAATGTCATAGCCCTTTGCTATTTCAGACTATAAAATCTGTTAGATAAAAAATAATAAGTTTGAAATATAAAAAGTTTACACTATCAAGAGTGAAGTTATAGGAATCAGAAAATTTGAGTTTGTGGCAAAAACTAGAAATTTCTCTCTACTCCTTTACTTTATGTGATTGCATTTCATCTTGAAAAAGAGGAAAGGCTGTCTAGGCTGAGGGTCTATAGATGGATTAAAGCACCGTTGGTTGTTGAGAACCAAGACAGTATAATATCATTAACAGGTTACCCACAATGGACTAAATTAATTCCGTCTTTTCTCTTACAGGCTTGGTTCCCAAATCATTGCTAATACCTGTAATAAATCCTTTTTCTAAGGTAGGAGACTCCACTCAATTTAACTTTGAGATCGTTATTATAAAGTCTCCTGTAAGTATATCTGGACAGGGACTACAAATTAAAAATCTAAATATTAGCATTTAAAAGTTGTCTAAGCTATTGTAAAGAGCTAAATACATATTTGACCTTAAAATGCTTGTATTAATCTATGTCGGAAACATAACATGATTATTTATTAATTAATTTTATAATGTTTGTTTGTGCGCATATATTCCCTTGTATTGCCGCGTATGCTGAGTAGAGTACAGGTTTGGGATGCTACTGTGAACACGTAAGCTGGGTAAAGACAGGTAGTGGAGGTAGAGAAATAACCGTGCTTGGTGTGGGAAAACGGTTTCTCTTAATTGTCAAAACGGAGAAATTTTCAGAGTAATTATTACGTCGTCTTATGGATTTAGTGAAAATTACAACAAATATAGTTCATGATCAGATAAAATCTGACGGATTTATTTAGGGTGAAAGAGAGTGATTATTAAGTAGTGAAGCGATTAAATCTCCGGAGAAATTTATGGAGAAAGTAGAACTAACGTTCACTAATCGTCCATATGGTTTGTTATGCATGAGTTAGTTTAGTGGGATAAAACGAGAAATAATTTCTCTTTCTTATTTAAGACTATAAAGTTTTTTAAATATAAATATGTTCGTTAGAAGTGGTTTAAAAATTTAGATATTGATTCTAAATGGTTTCTAACAACTTTCTTGGAGTTTATTTTGTATGTTTGAAAAAGAAGTTAGGGTCTGTCCTAGAGAACGATTTTTGGACCTGTTCTCTAGTACGGACCCAAAATAAGTGTAGATAGAATAGACTAACTTTTATTTCAATTTACCTGTGTAGTTTCCTAGAGAACGATTTTAGGTAGAAAAACGCATGGATCATTATTGCCGACTTCTTACCTTGAAAAGGTTAATATGATTATGTTTTTAGAGATAATGATGAGAAGAATGTAAACTCTGTCACCCCTAAACCTAGACCTTGTGATTAAATTGTGAATTCAAGATGGGGAAAACAAACTTTCAATACGATGAGAGCGGTACAACGTTCTACTACGTTCTTCTCACGTTCCTTGGCTTTATACTCATTCCCTCAACCTACTATTTCTGGCCAGAGGTAAACACAAAAAAATAAGTTTTACAAAGTGATAACAATTTAGTTTTAGGTAAAAATATGCCATTTTATTGGTAATTTCATGGTAAAAGATTGTAGAACCCCCGCCCCCCGCCTTACATTTTTGTACACGATTCTTTTATTTAACACATGGGTGTTCCGCCCCCTACCCTGTCCTAGCCGCAGCACTTGGCCCTATTGCCTTTCCTAGCTGCAGAGCTCGGCCCAGAAGTTTTCTTTGCCTACCCTAACCCAAGATTTAAATCATATTGATTTCATGTTAAATAGTTATAATCTGAGACTATTAGCTGATGCCATTTTAAACAACTATCCCTTTCCTAGCCATGTAAATTTTATCTTCGACCACTTCATGTTGTAGACCACACAGTGCGAATCAAATGTGCACGCTCTCACGCAAACATCCATTAGTATTTTGCCAATTATTCTTTTCAAACTTAAGCCAAAAACAAGCGCCTTGCAGTTTAAGAATAAAAGTGCATAGGGTTAAAAAATGTATAAGTTACATTGTGAGGTAAAACGCCGTTGCGACGCTTTTAAAGTTGAGGCTTTCAAAAAATAGTTATTGAGATACCAGTGCACAGTGATTTAGTTGATTTTAGTTCAGGTTTTCTGAGATATCGTAATACGAACGAAAAAGATCATCAAGGGATGACAGATCAAATTTTGGTCATCAAATCTACAGTTTTATATGTAATAATGCAAAATTCCCCCCCCCCCCCTAAAAAAATAGTTTTCCCAGAATTTTACAAGAGATGTCATGTTCTTACATACAATCTAAAGTATCAAATTCAACCCGCGACCCCTCCATTTAAAACAATGTTATGATGTATTTTTTGTAAAGCTTCTAGTTGTGGTTAGTAGGAGGAATAGAACAATAAACAGTCCAACAAGCCTAGTTAATTTAAGAGATGTATGACTGTTGGTGCGTTTGTACAGAAAGATAATGAAAAATTATGCTATTGGTTTTTTGACAACCATTATTTTTCTCAATTTTCTGTTTGGTTTTATCGTTATTTGTATTACAGGAGGATAAAGTAGACCCAGAGAAGAAGAAAAAGTACCAGGCTAACGCAAAGGAGACAATATATTGGGAAGCATGTCTGGAGAAAGCAGACAGGTTGGAGAAAAAAGATCCGTGGAAGAAAACCCGAAGTCGGATTGCGGTTCTTCTCATTCTGATCGGTTGGGTTTTTATAGCTATGATAATCTACCAGATCTCGCAGTTTGATTATGAAATGGCGAATTTTGATCCCTATGAGATCCTTCAGGTTTCAATGTCTGCCGACAAGAAGACGATTAAATCTCAATACAAGAAACTCTCCCTGATTTATCACCCTGACAAACCGACCGGAAATGAAAAACTCTTTATGAAACTACGGAAAGCGTACGACGCCCTGACGGACGAGACGGCACGGTATAACTGGGAGCACTACGGAAACCCTGATGGACCTCAAGCCATGCAGTTCGGTATCGGTCTCCCGGCCTGGATAGTCGAGGAGAAAAACTCCGTCTGGGTTCTGGGTGTCTACACCCTTATCTTCATGATAGGACTTCCTACCGCAGTTTGGTACTGGTGGTCCAGATCTAGTAAGTTCAGCAGTGAGCAGGTTCTCCTAGATACTACCCAGCTCTACTACTATTTCTTTCATAAAACCCCGCACATGATGCTGCGCCGGGTCCTGATGGTGCTGGCGGCCAGTCTGGAGTATGAAAAGGGACACAACTACGAGATTGTAGAACGACCAACTGACAATGCAGAGATTCCCCAGCTGATGAAGTGTATACCCAACCTTGGTGTCAACAATAAAGAGAAACCACTGTGCTTTGGATACAGTGTGAAGACGAGAGTTCTTATATTCGCGCATCTTTCCCGTCTCTCCTTACCCAAACATACTCTACATCAGGATAGACTTTACGTTATCAAAAAGTGCCCGTACCTTATTCACGAGATGGTTCAATGTTTAAGCCAACTTATCTTACTCGCCCACGCTGGCCGAATCACACGTTTGCCGAGCCTTGATACCGTTGAAGCAACGATGCGTTGTTCTTCAATGATCGTGCAGGCTCTCTGGGACAAGCAGAGTCCTCTGCTCCAGCTGCCTCATATAGAAGAGGATATGCTAAAGTACTTTCACAGCAGGAGGAGGAACATCAAGGGGTTGAAGCAGTTGGCACAGATGAAGGAGGAGGATAGAAGATCTCTACTCAGATCTATCAATGATGATCAATACAAGGATATACTTAAGGTAACAAACTTTTCTATTTTTGGAAATATGAAAGAGTAATTTTCATACCGGAGTGATTACATCTCATTTTTAGTGTGATTAGTAGTTAGAACCCAGTACCTCCTGTTGTGATTAATTTGTTTTACTGTCAAGCCAAAATTCGGACAGTTAGCTTTAAAGATCAAAACCAATATTTCGTGAATGCGGAATTAAGATCTATGTTTGATTGCGCAAGTGACGATGAAACAAACCATGACATTGGGTGAAATTTTAATATTCACGCATTGGCCATATATTTTCTTTAAAAATATTTTGTCCAACCCCCTCTTGAAAATGATTTTTTTTCAGGCCAGAATTTTTTGGGGTATTGTTCGCCAAATTGGGGAAAGTAAATGATTTTTAATTAAAGAGTTTTTGGTATTAAGTATAAAAAGGGTGGGTATTTGTTGTTTTTCCTCAAAGCATCGAAAAGCATTAAGGGGGAGGGTAATTCTTAGAACTATATACTTATATATATATACAAGTAGAATGTATGCAGACCTGTTTCCTTGGTTCAACAGAGCTAATGGATTATTTAAATCCGAAATCCTGAACTAAATCTTGTTGACATGATATAATGATCTTGTTCCAGGTGCTGGGCATGATGCCCTGCCTGAGTATGACTGTGACGACTGAGGTTGTGGACGACGAGGAACAGCATGTTGTCACCGCCGGAGCCATCATCACTGTCACAATCTCCGTTAAAAGGAATGTTGGAAATAATTAGTTATCAGTTTTGATCTCTGATGAGGATTCTTTAAAAAATCGCAATTTTAAAGTCACGTTCACTGAAGCGGAGTTAACAAATTATCTAGTCAAGGAATAGGAATCTTTCATTTTTAAAAAGAATAATCTTTTTTCTTTTGAAAAGCTTAAACACATTATAGTTGAAATCCTCTTAAGTATAACATTCAAATGTATCAGACAATTAGATAACCGATTTTACTGAAAATTTACGGTTTCTTGTACTTCAATGAAATAACATTCAGTGTGTACTTGGCATGATATTTCTCAGAAATAATGGCCGTCTAAACTGTGTTCGTTGGCAATGGCATGATATTTCTCAGAAATAATGGCCGTCTAAACTGTGTTCGTTGGCAATCTTAGCCATAAAACCTAATGAATGGGATATTTTGATCTGATTTTTGAAACCTAAAGCTTCTGCATCCATATCTTGAATATGCGAAAACCATGAACTTGAACCCGTTAGTGGGATAAAACAAACATTATTTCCAATCCTACTTCAGGGACTCATTGTCTAAGTACATGTCCGATACCTACGTATACAACGAGGATAATGAGAACGAGGACCTGGATCCCGAAGATGCCGAGCTCCTGGACGAAGAGGAGGATGATAAAGACCAGGAGAAGGACGGAGAAGGGGATGAGAAGGAGGAGGAGAAGAAGAAGGGTCCGGCCTGGAAAAAAACTCAACAGAAGAAGAAACCGAAGAAGGGAGGAAAACAGAAATCTAAACCTAAAGCTAAAGGAAAAGATACGACGGCTAAAACGGTAAGATTGTTATTATCTCATCTCTAATATACCACGACAGAAGTTTCCGTTGTTGAACTTTAATTTTCTTAATATTGATAATTCTCTTGGCCACGTGCAAACTTGAAACATAAATCGGCTAAAGAAATCATGTCCGATTTCTTGGGATAGCCAGCCAGGTTTAGCATGTTCAAAGTGACCTTTAAGTATTACAATGATGGTTACGGTTTTTAGAGATTAACATTTTGTAGTCATGGTTTAATAACATCTAAAATTACATTGGTTTCGGAATATTTATAAGTTTTAATATGTATTTACTAGAGCTAAGGATCCGTCATTTTGATGCAAATCAAGATCCTGAATGCTTTAATATATATTTACATATTATATATTTATTTCATGGATCCGGATCCTGGATTCTGAAGAATTTTTTTTTTTATAAATCATACAAACTACCATTAGTGAATATATATGGGACCTCTTTCAGATTTCTTTTCCTTATAGTTTCCTTTCCTTATGGGTAAATTAATAGGTTCCAGATCCTTGGTACTAGCTAATACGAATAGTTTCTCGATAACTGGAATGAAATAGTAATGCATGTAAAAAGATTCTTATTTCAATCCTATTAATTTAATGGTATCAATTCAAAGATTTTATTTAACGGTAGAGTTACATATTACATATAAAAGGGTGGAGGTATACAGGTTCACAGTTTAAAGTGGATTATATTATAATGGTATAATAAAAGATTGAGGTTAATCCTGTATTACTAGAATGGAGGTATGAAATGTTTAATTACTTGACAGTTATAATCTTCATTACTAAAATGGAGTTAAATAATGAAAGATTGGAGGATTAATCTCAAGTACTAGAAAGAGGTATATAATTCAGGATGGAGGTATTATAACCTTTATTACTACGTTGAATGGAGTCTAGGAGTGTAATGAAGGGTGGAGTTAAACATAGGAAGTATTTATATATTGAAGAGTGGAGGTATAACCTATATTACTATACTGGAGGTGTATATTTAAGGGTGTAGACTGTAGACATAGCTTGTAATTACTAAAATGGAGGTACGACCTGTAATACTAGAGTAAAGGTATAGAATAAGAGATTGTAGATTTACCCTGTATTACTAGAATGGAGGTACAACTTGCATAATAGAATGGAGGTTTTTAATGAAGGTTGAGGTTTAACCTATATTACTAGAATGGAGACTGTGAAAACTTGGTGGAGGTTAGCACAACTTTACAGAACAAACAGAATACAGCCCGAAGAAAACTCGTGAGTAAAATGTTGATGTTATGTTTGAATTATTTATATTTGTAGTTTTGTGGCAACTTTATGCCATCAATTCTCGCTAGTTCCTTTAATCCACCTCGAACTAATATGTTTTCCATTCATTAACACTTGTTTCTCTTCCACTACATATCATTTTGATATCTTGTAACCCAAATAAAAGATTTCTATAAAACATATTTTTATAGACGTCTGACACCAAACCCCTCTCCCATTTGTCTCCTTAAATTATATCTGTGCTGTATCCTTTGTGTTATATTTGTTCCCATGTTTTTGCCCAGTGTATATTTTGCATGTTATAGTTTTAAAAACGTAGAATGTAGTATTGCACTTATTAACGGATACGTGTTGTTGATACACCTAGTTTGTCTCTTGTTGCTACATGTTTTAATATTTGGTACAAAGGGGCTGAAAACGTAATTTCAAGTGACCCTCCATTGAAAGAAGGGGCCTGACTGATACAATAGATTTCAAGAAGACAATTACGATTTCTCGATAAAAATAAATAAAACAGCAAATTGGAAATTAGAAAAAATAATCACTTTTCATGCCAGAAAAACGACAATATCTTCCACATCATAGTCAGATAAAGGTTTAAAACTTATCATTGTGTATCGAACAAAGCCCTCTTTAATTGGAGGTTTAATTGATACTACGTGCATAGTCTCTTTAAATAGTTTTGCATGGGCCTAGTTCCTTACAGTGTTTGTCAGCGATGTAATAATAAGTGACCCACTCCTACTCTTAGAACCTTTATTTATAGTATCGAAGTACAGCTCGTTTTTTGTCTGGACATTTATGATCTCGGGACCGATTTTCTAAAGCAAAGACAAGCAAGATAACGACTTAGCTTTGTTTCATCTGAAATTAAAAAACGAGTTGTACACCATTCTTTAAGTTAAAGGTTTTAATGTATTTAATTGTTTATGGCACTCTTTTTAAAGTGTTTACATTATCTTAGTTTTCAGCTCCAAAATAATGAAAGGATTATTATTTAGGGCGGAGAAAGTGGAAGTGAAAGTGACGGAGATGACTCTGGTAGTGAGGATAGTGTGAGTGAAGGTGGAGCTCGAGATCGAGGAGTAGAACGGAGCGGAGCAGGAGCAGGCGCCGTTAACAGTGAGGAGGAGGATGAAGATCAGGAGTGGGCCAAGTTCCAGAATAAGGTTAACAAGAGAGAGAAGGCACTGGAGGGTAAATCTAGGATCTCCCACTCCGTACACTGTCCGTACTATACAGACGACAAGCAGGAGTACTGGTAAGACTTTTACTTCAAGGAAGTGATCATGAGTTTTAAAAAATGGGTTATATATGACGAATAATGGTATATTAGGTTGGTCGATCTTATTCGAACTTAGTAATAGTATAAAAAACGGTTCAATTAAAAAAGATGTTAACATGCAATGCTTCAAATTAAACTGTTTCTGTTTAGGTGGGTTTATATCTGTGATAGGAAGACGCATAGTTTAGTAACTCCGCCCTACCACCTAACTGGGTTGGTAAACCAGGAGGAGGTGGAGCTCAAGTTCACTGCTCCGGGTAGACCTGGGCACTACGGGTTCACTGTTGTCATCAGGTCGGACAGTTACATGGGATTAGACGTCCTGGATGATATAAAACTGGACGTGAAGGAGGCCAGAGAGGCGCCTACAGAGCATCCACAATGGGAGTTTGAGGTAAACTAGAGTTTCCAAGAGATATCCGCTTCTTGGTTTGAAGAAACCATTCCCTCCAACTCTAAAAGATGAAATATTATATTTTGCCTCAAGCTAATAATTTTCTAATCCTTATATCTAGGCAGCCTCATACCATTGATCTTTGATTTTTTAAACTTTGAATTCTGCTAGAGCCAATCGTAAAAGTTTAAAATATCGAAGATTGTTAAAATATATAGGCATTAGAAAACTAGAGTTTGAGGTAAGTAATCAGAGCTGGGAACATTTGTGATAGATAATATTAATCCCGATCACTTAATCTCGATATCCACTGTGGTCACTTTTACTTTTAGGATCAATGCTTAATATCTTTATTTCAGTTGTCCCTCCAGAGTAAAATTACATTGCAGATATCGAATAAAGATTAAATTAATCATCCAAAGATTATCAAAAGGTTAAGATCAAGTATTGATCTTGAAATCCAAATTACAAGAGCTCCCAGCTCAGTTCCTATAGATTTTAATCAAACTTTAAAAAGAAAAAAATCTGATCCCCCCTTTCCATATATTGAAAAATTCCTGAATAGTAATTATTTCAATAAACTTGTTTCTGATCAGATTATCAATATTCAGGACGACGAGGGAGAAGATGACGAGAACGAGGCGAGCCAGGAGAGCGAGTTCGCTACAGACGATGATTTCGATGATGACTCAGATTAATCTGTAATCTCAAACATTCCTCGGCGCTTTTTAAAACGCAAACATCGAACTTCACTTCTAAGAAATAAATTTTTATCTGGACATTTTCCTGAATATGAAATCCTTATGGTTTTTCCAGGACTGATTTTCAGGAATTTGATCTTTTTTGAACAAATTTTCCTTAGTTTATATTTTCCTTGGATCATGTTTTCCTTGGATCATGTTTTCCTTGAGTTATGTTTTCCTCGGATCATGTTTTCCTTAGATCATCTTGTTTTCCTTGGATCTTGTTTCCTTGGATTATGTTTTCCTTGAATCATAATTTTCTTGGATCATGTTTTCCTTGGATCATGTTTTCCTTGGATCATGTTTTCCTTGGATTATGTTTTCCTTGGATCGTGTTTTCCTTGGATAATGTTTTCCTTGGATCATGCTTTCCTTGGATCATGTTTTCCTTAGATCATCTTGTTTTCCTTGGATCATGTTTTCCTTGAGTAATGTTATCCTTAGATCTTGTTTTCCTTGGATCAAGTTTTCCTTGGATCATATTTTCCTTGGATCATATTTTCCTTGGATCATATTTTCCTTTCATCATGTTTTCCTTGGATCATGTTTTCCTTGGATCATGTTTTCCTCGGATCATGTTTTTCTTGGATCTTGTTTTCCTTGGATCATGTTTTCCTTGTACCATGCTTTCCTTGGATCATGTTTTCCTTGGATCATGTTTTCCTTGGATCATGTTTTCCTTGGATCATGTTTTCCTTGGATCATGTTTTTCTTGGATCTTGTTTTTCTCGGATCATGTTTTTCTTGGATCTTGTTTTTCTTGGATCATGTTTTCCTTGGACCATGCTTTCCTTGGATAATGTTTTCCTTGGATCATGTTTTCCTCGGATCATGTTTTTCTTGGATCATGTTTTCCTTGGATCATGTTTTCCTTGGATCATGTTTTCCTTGTATCATGTTTTCCTTGGACCATGCTTTCCTTGGATCATGTTTTCCTTGGATCATGTTTTCCTCGGATCATGTTTTTCTTGGATCTTGTTTTCCTTGGATCATGTTTTTCTTGGACCATGCTTTCCTTGGATCATGTTTTCCTTGGATCATGTTTTCCTCGGATCATGTTTTTCTTGGATCTTGTTTTCCTTGGATCATGCTTTCCTTGGATCATGTTTTCCTTGGATCGTGCTTTCCTTGGATCATGTTTTCCTTGGATCATGTTTTCCTTGGATCTTGTTTTCCTTAGATCTTGTTTTCTTTGGATAATGCTTTCCTTGGATCATGCTTTCTTTGGATCTTGTTTTCCTTGGATCTTGTTTTCCTTGGATCATGCTTTCCTTGGATCATGCTTTCCTTGGATTATGATTTCCTTGGATCTTGTTTTCCTTGGATCATGTTTTTCTTGGATCACGTTTTCCTTGGATCATGTTTTCATTAATTTATATTTTCCCAGGATCATGTTTTCCTTAGTTTATATTTTCCTTGGATAATTTGGATCATGTTTTCCTTGGATAATGATTTCCCTTAATTCACTTTGTCTTGAAGATCCGATTACTTAGAAATGAATTTTTGAATTTGCTTGTTTTATTACATTACTCTACTTTTTATTTTTATTTTGGAATCGGAACAAAACAAAATTTGTCCAATTCTACTTAATGAATTTATTTTTAAATCCTCCCCCCCCCCCACACGTGTATTCTTCGAACTCCTTTGGATAATACTTGAAACGAGTTATTTGTTAAAATTTTACACAGTTCAACTAGTCTTATCCATCTAATGAATTCATTAATATAATGTTGTAAATCTGTTTGTAACTGTACATGGTGAGACTGGTTGCATTTTTATGTTACATGTGGGAATTTTTCCCAAAAGTAATGGTTTACTGGGAATAAAAGTAATTAATTTATAAAATAGATTGTGATTTTCAGAAAAAAACTGTATGATAGAACTTACATATAATGAATAGTTATGAGGGTGGCTTCAATATTTCTATATATTTTTTGGCGTTACCCTTGGAACAAAAAAATTGAAATTTGAAAAAAATTGCGAATTAAAAAAAATAATCGATTTTTGAAAAAGAATTTAGAAATTGACGAGAGAAAATATTGCAAATTTGTAGCCATGGGTTCCCTAAAAAATCAGCCCAATCGGTTAGCCGTTTGGCCGGCTAAAGCTAATAATATATATATGAAGGAAGAGCTTTATTTTATAGATTAAGGATAGTTCACATTAAAAAGATTGAACTAAAATATTTTTAGGACAAATTTTAAATTAAATTTATTCTTAAGCTATCATTTGCCTCGATTTAGACGTAGGAGAAAAAAGGTTTTGTTAAAATTAGATCTCCATCGACGCCAGCAGAAAAATTTTATCGCATTGCTCTTTCTCGATTTCTCTCTGTTAAATCAATGCTTAATTAAGTAAATTTAGCCTAATTTCTGTCTTAATGCAACCATAGGGACCAGGGGCGGATATAAGGTTTCTGTAGGGGGGGGGGGTCCCCCCTTATATCCGCCACTGATAGGGACCATAGGTCGTAATCTACAATCATAGGTCGTAGCCATCTATCTAATCTGTTAAGAGTGAGACATCTGGCGGCCAAACTATTGTCCTCCAATGTTCATACATTTTTAGAGAGAGAGAACGGGCTCTGATAAGGTACGTAATTTAACGCGGCAGAGTAAAATCCTGTGCGCAAGTAAATGTCAGTTTGAAACAATTGTGAAATCTGCCTCCAACGCAGAGAAATATTAGCGTGAAAAGGCATAATTAAACGAATTCATATATATGTATCAATTAACATAGACGCATTATCTTAGGTGGAAAACAATGGAGTTTGATAATCCTGGAAGCGATCAATGGAAATCCGAACAGAGATCTGATATTTCGGACTTCAGTGAAGCAGAAAATAACCAGGGAGACAAGAAGAGTAAAAAGGACAAACTCATTTTAGGAACGAAGAAGAAAGAGAAGAAGAAGGAGACGAGATATGCAACCCTAGGAGATCCTAGCTCCGGGGAGGAGGAGGAGAAGGACGGAAAGAAGAAATCTAAAAAGAAAGGTTTTCAATTCGGCTCCACGAAGAAGGAGAAGAAAGAGAAGAAAGACAAAGACCGGGATACAAAGGACCAGAAGGATTCAAGAAAGAAAGAGAAAAAGGACAAAGAGAAAGAAAAGGAGAAAGCCAAACTGAAACTGAAGAAATTGAAACCTGAGGGAGATTTTGAAGGTAATAATTATCTCAATTATTTTACATTAATGAAACCTAAGAATTATCTGAAAAGCGATGTCGAAAATCGGTAATTTCCTAGAAAACGATTTTTGGTTATCATTGGTCACGGGCCGCAGCGCCCGGCCCCCTAGCCTGTCCTAGCCGCAGCGCTCGGCCCTGTAGCCTGTTCTAGCCACAGTGCTCTTAACCTAATCTAATCCTAAAATAATAAAAAATAAATAATAATTAAGCAGATATCATTTACAAAATTGTTAGGAGGGGGGGACAGACCCCAAAAATTTGGTGAAATAGTTTTCTTGCTTTTTCTGTGCATTTTAATTCACCAAAAACTCTCAGTAATGTTAGAGAAGTACAGAAGGGTTTAAAGATTATTTTACATGAGCCAGGGAGAATTATCTTTTTTTCAAGAAAGTATTTAATTAATTTTTTTATTTTAGTTGAAATATTTTTTCATTGATTATATTTTTATAAGATTAACTTTTTCTACTATATATGTTGTAGGTAAGGTTGAGGATGCCCCTGTCTTTGGAGTTCCGCTTGCCCTTGCTGTAGAGAGGAGCAGGTGTCATGACGGTATCAAGCTTCCAGTCGTAGTCAGGGAGTGTATTGATTACATTGAAGAGAACGGTCTCAAAGTTGAGGGAATATACAGGTTAGATTCATGGGTGGTTTGAAGAAAATAATCTTAGTAGCGAGTAAACTTACGAGTACAATCTTATTAAGTACTGATTACAGAAAATGCATGTTTATTATTTTTTATTGTATAACCTCAACTTCAGAATAAATATCTTCGTATAAACATTACAGCTCGGCTTCTCAGTCGCAGCATTTGGTCCCTAGCCTTTCTTAGCCGCAGCGCTCAGCACATATTTTTTCTTTATGCACCATACCAAAATTATCGAGATCATTTATATTTCTGTTATTTCCCAAATCAAGTTTGACCGTATAGTTTTTTAAGTCGTAGTATTTAAGACTTAGTTAAAGACGTATTGAAGATATGACACATAAGACTTCAGACATAGTTATAATTTGTTAATATTAATATTATTTGAATCTACCAGGCTTTCAGGGCGCTTCGCGCCCATCTTCTTTTTCAACTTTTAATTGTGGCTTTATATGTGAGCATCTTCTCTTCTGAAAATACAGTATATTGAGCTGAAAACTTTAGAATGAGATATCCTTAATCCTGATCGGATAATTAATATATACTGTATTTGTACTGTATCAGTATATTTTTTTTAAATTGACGGATTTTATGATATTTTTACGCGCATTTTCAAAATTTTACTAAAAAAAAATAATTTAAGATAAAAAATTTTTAAGATTACATTAACCTTCCCTAGGCAAACAGACAAACAAGCATCCTCTCTTTGTACAGTATAAAACAAAAACAAAAAAAATTTGCGGATTTAATAATATTTTTTCGCGCATTTTCAAAGTTTTTCAAAAATATAAAACTTTTAAAAACAAATTTTGAACCTTTTGATCATTCATAAACCTTTCCTGGGGTCACGTGAGGTCCCACATAAAATTTGGGCCAGATCGGTTCAGCCGTTTTGACGTTTATTGGATACAAACAGACACCCAGTCAAGCTAAATTCATATTTTAGATACTTTGTTTTAAAGTGGACAGGATAAGAATTTTAACATCTAACAATACTGAAATGCCATTTTGATTAAGCATCTAATACGTAGTATGTAGATATTAACAAGGTTTTAACGTTATTAACAGAAATGGAATATTGAGGCTCCGTACTTAATTCTTGAGAGGAGGGGGGGGGGGGGGCAACTATTGTTTCTAGATTTAGCCGATTTTTTTTAAATAGAAAGATATCTTAAATCTCCATAACTTATTGCAGTGAAACACTGATTATTTACATTTCTATTTCTCTGCGACTACATAAAAAAAAATATTTTTTATTAAATGTTCTTTTTGCATGTAGTATGAAAACTTGTTATTTTCTTCCCGATTTGATTATCAAAAGCGAAAAGAACTAAAAAAAAGTTCAATCTGAAAGATGCTAAATTTATCTGTACCTTATTTTTAGATCCTCAGGAGTGAAATCTAAAGTGAACAAGCTGAAGATTGCGTACAATACTAGACAATCGGTATCCCTAGCCGGTGCAGAACCTGCAGTGGTTGCTAGTCTACTCAAACTTTTTCTCAGGGAGCTTCCGAACCCTGTTCTCACACAGCAGCTTATCCCTAGGTTTGAAGAGGTCGCCAAGGTTAAGGATGTCTCCAAGATGTTTGACGGATTGAATAGTCTTATTAAGCAGTTACCGGAGTGTAACCGAACTCTGATTGAATGGGTACTTGTCCATATGAATCACGTGATCCAGAATGAGAAGCAGAATAAGATGACGTTACAGAACGTATCAATCGTCCTCTCCCCAAGTATGCAGATTTCTCATGGAGTTCTTTATGGTTTATTCAAGAACTCAACACGATTGTTCGGACATGTTGAGATAAAGAAATACGTTCCCCCGATCAGTGGCCAGAGTGGGGTCAATTTTCTGCCGGAATCTCCAGAGGGCATTGAGGAGGAAATGAAGAAACAGGAAAGTTTGCTTGAAGATCTCCACAAAGAGATATCACTAGGAGTTGCTAGTAAAGCTACAGAAGAGCAGTTATGGGAGCAGCAGAGAATTGTTACACAGCTAAAGCGGAAATTACGCCTGGCCAAGTCTAGTCAGAAAGGAGAAGATTCTAAACCTGAACAGGATGAAGAGATGAACTTCTCTCTTCAGAAACCTTTGAACTCTTCCCTTACTGAGACTGAGAAGAAAGACGAACCTACGGCGAAGGAAAATGTTCCTGTAAATGTCTTAACTGAAAATAATTCTAAGCCTGATCTCAAGGATACATTATCTTCTCCTGAAGATAAAGAAGAGTCCAAGGAGCATCGCGTTACAGTTCAGATTCATCGGACTGAGAACCTAGACCTAGAGAAGATTCACCTATCTGAGAACCCGGATCAGGAACAAGGACATGTTACCGTTATAAAACTAACGGACAAAGAAAAGGATACATCTCAGAAAATATCTGAATCTGAACGCAAAGAGGAAAAATCAGTTTCAGCAGAGAAAAATCTCTCTCCTGAGAAACCTGATGATGATGTAGATAGTTCTATGTTTAAAGCAAGGACTTCACCGGAAGTTCAAAAACCTGGATTTAATCAGCCGGAAGTTCAGACGGGGAAACCAGATCTACCGACGGAGAGTTTATTAGGAAAGCCGGTTGACAAGCTTAAACCTAATGTAGGAATTAAACCGTATGAGAATGTTGAGATAAAGGTTAAAAAGGTTGATTTTGAACCTAAAGATAAAGTGGAGGAAAAGAATGTTGCTAGGACGGGTTTAAGTAAAAGTGAGGAGAAACCAAGTTTAAGATCAAATGATGAAGGGAAGAATAAGGGAGCTAAACCTGGAGGGTTCCCAATGCTACCTCCTCCTCCTGGATCATTTAAACCTAGTTCTAGAGGATGCCTAAAACCGTCTATACTACCCCAACAAGAAAATATTATCAAATCTAAGAGTCTACCTCGAGGTTTGCCCTCGGATATCGGAGCGTTCGACCGAACCTCACAAAACAGATCCAAGCCTGAGCTAAACCAAACCGATAGTAAGAAAAACGAGAAGGAGCAGCTGATCTGGGAGGAACTGAGGTTGAAGTTTGAGTACGAGGAGTTACTGAACCTCAAGAGTGAACTCGAGAGGAAAAGGAAGACGGAACGAAGGGAGGTTGCTGAACTCCAGGAGGAGATTGCAACTATGCAAACCCTGTATCAGTACAGAACATATAGTATCGATAGCAGTGAAAGCGAGGGGGAGGAGGAACACTATCAGGTACAATTAAGTTCAATTATTTCTTAGATCAGAGTGCGTTCAGTTTTAATTATTTTAGAGGTTTATTCTTCTTTTTTAGATCCAAGCGGACAAGAGACAACTACTTCGCCAACTCACGTTAGAGCAAGCAGACCTTGAGAAGAAAAAGATGTTTCTTCTCTCTAAACTTGAAGCTGAGCGCAGTTCCTGTCTTCAGCTCCGGGTTCAGATACGGTTGGAACAGGAGAGATTAAAAAGACGAGGATTATAAAAAAATACCAACTAAAATGGCATTTGCATTAAAATCATCGAATTATTCAGCTTACTTTTTGTTACTTCGCAAAAAATTTAATTTAAATATTTAGAGAATTATTAAACATTTTGTTTGCATGGTTTATTTAATTCTTTTCCACCTGTGATATAAATTTCTAAAGCGAAGATATTCTCAGCTATTTGATTAAATGAATAATATTAATTCAAACTTTGTAATTTTATCAGACTTTATTCCAGATGCTAAGATGAGTATTAAAGAGGTTTTATTACCCCCTGGTTCTGAGGATGATACCAAGGTTGTGATGAGAGACCTTGAGGCTGTCCTGCCCTCTGTAGAGAATGATGAAGAAGAACTATGCGAAGGTCCTTTATCGTCTGCGGAGAAGGGTAGAAAGATATCTTCTATTACGGAGCTAACTCAGGTAATTACAGTCAAGACTGGGAATCTTACATTTAAGTTTATTTAGGGCTCCGCAAAAGTCTAACTGCCAGCTTAATAATTTCTGAATGTTTAAAAGTCTAATTGGGAGATTAAGGATAAAACATAACTTATTTGACTTTTTAAAATTTTCTTTATAAAAAATATTTGCGCAATGCTGTAAAGTTATCTTAGTAAAGATTTTTGATTTACAAACCTAGCAATCTTATGATTATAGAATGTCTTATTAATTATTATTGATTTGTTTTGAAAAGGGGGAAGCCAGAAACTTCGAATAATTTAAAACAGACAGTGGAAAGGGGAGATGGTTTTGTTGTCATTTAATCATTTGTATAAAAAAAATCTAGATAACATTGATTGCCAAATGCCAAGACCCGGTGTTTTTGTCTAAAATTCAGAGCTTAAATTACAATTCTTGTTTTTGTTTTATGAAGCTAGTTTATAAGAATAGATATTGGTGTAGACTGTAGAGGTCGCAGGAGGGCTAGGCCATACGCAATCAATGTTTACTGAACTAGCTCTCTGTATGTACCCTAATACCTCCTGAGTAAAATGTAATCTAACCCTATCTTCTTCTCTTTATAGTTCTAATAGAACTTGAGTTACCAAATCATGTTTGTGTGTAGAGTAAAAAAACATATCGAATTTCAGAGATAAAAATAATCTTTGACAGATAAACCAATGGAAACTTTCAGGAAGAACTGGGTGATACTTTAAGTTCTGGAACGGACGAGGACGGAGAAATGTTCCAAGATGCGAGGGATAAAGTGAGTCCCTGCAGCTCAAACTCTGATACTGAATGGAGGGACCAAGACAAGCATCTGTTTGTGTTGAGCGAGGCAGGAAAACCTATTTATACACTTCACGGAGACGAAGATATCATGGTCTCATTGTTTGGAGTTATGCAGGTAATGTTTAGTAAAGTTTTGATTATTTTTTTTTTACTGACTTTTGACCAACATTACTAACCTAAGATTTTCCCAATAGAGGGAGGTTAAGTTACTCAACGTCCCTTTGGACAGTTATGTAAAATAACCACCCGCTCTGCATAGTTTTCGGGGGAAAATTTTCATCTCCGGAAAATTAAAAATTTTACTTAACCACGCATTCCCGTGACCAACTTTGTCTAAAAAACATCCCTCGCAGTGCTCTGGATGTTTTGTAGGCAAAATTGGTCTTTGGAACACTTTGTATAGTAAAATTTCCTTAACTTAACTTCTCTGTAAAGTAGTTATAAATAAAAATAACGCTTTACGTAATAAATGATAATTGGAACTTGAAATGGGACTTTAAAAGCTAAAAAATCTTAAATCCCTCAAAGCTAAAATTAAATAATGTTAAACAATATCGTTCCAACTAGGAGGGAATTGTAAAAGATGAAATTTGGGGAGGGGTGTGGAAAATTTTCATCGGAGCAAAAGCTTTTGGTATGATCATATATTGAACATTACATTGTCGCTCAAGACATTTCAGTAAATAATTAATATTTTAGGCCCTTGTATCCTATGTAGCCGACTCCGGAGATTCTATTAGATCTATTCGAACCTCAGATACAACAATTGTCTTCTTAAACAAACCCTCTCTTATCCTGGTTGCAGTGAGTAGAACCGGGCTCTCCGCCCAGCAGCTGACCGTTCAACTAACCTACATGTACAACCAGATCCTTTCCGTTCTAACCCTTACCCAGCTCACAAGAATATTTGAGCAGAGAAGAAACTACGATCTCCGCCGCATGATAAGTGGGTCAGAGAGGTTGATGCATCATTTATCTGCTAGTATGGATACAGATCCGTCCTTCTTCCTCTCCTCGGTCCGATGTTTAGAACTAGCTCCGGCAGTAAGAGATGTAGTCTCCGAGTCCCTCATCAGATACTGTGGTAAGATGAAGAACGTAGTGTTTGGTATAGTAGTTGCTGGGAACCAGCTGATAACCCTGGTTAGGATGAAGAAGTATTGTATCCATCCTGCTGATCTGCATCTTCTCTTTAACCTGATCAACGCTACGGAGTCTTTCAAGGATTCTGAGAGCTGGACACCCATCTGTTTACCTAAGTTTGATTCTAGTGGATTTTTACACTCTCATGTTTCCTACATTAGCCAGGACGTGTGTTTAATGTTGATTACTGTAGATAGAAATGCTTTTTTTGAACTCTCCGCTGCTAGGGGTAAAATTCAAGAGAGGTTAGAGAAGCATAATGTTATGACGGCAATATCTGATGCTTTAATATCTTGTAAATACAACTGTGTAGTCATTGAACTACCGGAAATTCGTCACTTTCTTTACAAATCGCGTACTTCCGCCCAATATACTGAACCAGTTCCTGCAGCGTGTTACAGGGCGCCCGAGGAGATGAAAAGACTTTTTTCGATATTTCTTTCAATTCAAAACCGGTTTCACACGGCTAGTAGACCTGTGAAACTATGCTACCGCGCCACTGCGCTAGAATTGGTCTTGGGCTGGTCAACTCAAGCATTCGAACTGTACGCTGTGTTTTCTCCAACCTATAGTAAACTATCTGTTCTCACTGCCGTCAATAAGCTGTTGAGATGGGTGAAGAAGGAGGAGGAGAAACTATTCATCCTTACGGCTCCGACCTTCTAATAAATTTCTAACCAAACTGTGATAAAACTTATCTCTGTGATTTTTAGATTTCTTTAGGCAGACTTTTTCCAGGGTTTAAGATAAAAACCACTCTTAATCCAGAAAAGAATGTCCTGAAGATATATCAATAATTAGCTAACGTCTTAGGTTTTATAATTCCACAGTTAGTATCCCCTTAACCGGACCCTCAATTCATGTTTTAAAATTTAGCATGTTTTTGACTCGACCTAATTGATATTATTCTTGTTTGATTATACCAAAACATAATTCGTAATTTTTCCATTGTATTATTAATATAAAATATGTATTTCAGAAAAATGGTTTTAGACCGGTCTCCAGTTTCTGAACCTGTAGCACAGTTTCAGCTCTCGTCTAGAATATTCGTGACTGAACTATCTCCGTTTGAATGGTCAGCGAACCTGATTGCTTTGGGTTTGGCGGATTCTGTCATCATCGGACAGATTAAACTTCCCGAGGAGGATGAATCTTGTCAGGTATTTTGAACAATTTCAACTATGTATTTACACTATAGGGGGTTCCAATAAAAATGGTTATTTATTCTAGAGCCTCAATTATTTACCCATGTCCCAGTTTATTTGTCATTTTTAAACCTAAAGTTTCTACTCCTAAAATAAATATGAAAATCCAGATCTGACAAAAAATTAGGATCTAACGTCAACGCTCTCTCTACCGAGACAAATTTCACATATTTTATTTATTAGGTACTTAATCTTAATCGTAAGGGGACGTTAAGAGACGTACACAGTAGTTTGGCTAGGAGGACATAATTTTATTTTCTTTCCATGTAGGGGG